ATAGCACAAGGGAAAGAAAACCTCGAATCCGCCCCTGAGTAAAAACAATAGTGTCCACGGGAGGGCCCAACTGGGCCCTCCCCCTCCCTATAGAAAAGAAAAAAATCTGGGCCCTCCCCCTCCCTATAGAAAAGAAATAAATCTTGGATACGCCCCTGACTCTTCTTGCAGTGCTGTACACCTATAATCGGTAGTATACTCTGCTTCACTGCTAGTGCTACACCTATATCTGAAGTATACTCTGCAACACTGCTAGTGCTACACCTATATATCTTACTCTGCTACACTGCATATGCTACACCTATATATATTTGTATTATACTCTGCTACACTGCTAGTGCTACCTATACGATCTGTAGTATACATACTATACTCTGCTACACTGCTAGTGCTACACCTATAAGACTAACGTTTTGACTCTTAATTGTCCAAGGAACATAAGACAACATAAAGTTCATTTTAGTATGACGTTAATGTCGTCTTCCTATTCCACAGTTTACTGGTTCTCACTGTAATTCTAACCTATTTTATGGAAAACAATAAATTTGACGTAAGAAATAGAGATTTTGTTTAATTAAACAGAAAAATTTTAAAAACATTTCTTTTCGTATTTTTTGAATTTTTGACAATTTGTCTATTTCTGTTTATTCGTTCGTTTTTATATTTATAATTATGTTTCATATTTTTTCTCCATTTTATTTATCAACTTTTATATCTATACTTGTGTATAATATCCATATTTGAATCTAATTATTCGTCATAAATTAAAATTTGTATAAACTGCACAAATATACTGCAACATATAATATTTTTTGAAAAGATGAAATTTCTGTAAACCTTTTTTTGGAGGTTTTTATTTCATTATTATCCACAAATTTTATAAAGATTCATCAATATATGAATGAGATATACAAAATATCCGTAAAAAAAAGAACTGCGCGAACCTTTTCTAGAATTATAGAATTTGTTTTTTTGGAAAACCTGAAATAAAAAGTATTTTCCCATCAAATTTTTCAAAAACATAATTTTTTCAAAAAAAATTGGTTTCGTAGTTTTTTGCAATGCTCCAAAAATATTTTTGAAAATTTTTGCCAGACTTCAATTTATTTATACCTAAAATCCGATGCAAACAATAAAATTTAAAATTTTATGCAAAACATCGCTTACTCATCCCGGTTATTGCTAATGCCAAAATTGCCAATATTGACAGACTAAAGATGAAAGCAAGCGCAACAGCTTTGCAAAATTACCAGAGCTAGATCAAGAGGAAGTGCAGGTTGGTGTAAAGTAAAACCAAGTTACGATACTTCGAAGACCATCAAGTTTCAATTATTGATGCATAATTTCAATAACTTTTTTAATCGCAATTTACACTTTTGTATCTTGAGTTGTTATTATTCATATTACAGAAATCTTCATCCTACACTGTCATGAAAATTATTCACCAACTAATGAGACCGACCCGATATTTACCTTGACTCTTATTCCTACCTTAATAGTTATATATGTTCCAATATACGGGATAATTCCAGGTAAGTATGAAGTAAAGGTAAACTTTAGCTGATAAGAATATATTAAACATAAATATTGCAACATTTTGACATTTTTTGTTGTAAAACTAATTGTTTTGAATTTTTAAACGAACACCATTAATTATGCTTCCATGTACATATATGTTAAAGAGAAAATCTGTATAGTATAATTGTTGAAAAACTAGAGAACGGTTTGTGCGCGCTGATTATACTCAATTGTTCTTTTTGATTTTATCTGAACTTTCTATATTTCTTAAAGATAATTTTAGTTTCGTGCGAGTCAGACGTATACTTATAACTCTGATTGAAGAAACCCTGACGTTTTTACGTAATATAGAACTTTTAGAAGTAATTTCGAAATAACTAACAGATTGATAGAAAAATCGACGTATTTTCTAAGATTATGTTTTGCAACGAAGGTATACCATCAATAAAAGAACGAAACCTTTAAACCTATGGCGATTGGGCTATTTTTGACTAATATAGGTTCCACCCCCCCCCCTCATATGATTTTGCCCTTAGAGTTGAGATAGGGGAGTGTGATTGATGTCCATAGTCATAATTTTCAAGGCCAGCTTATTAAAAAAATAGACCTCTAACTTTAATGGTTAGGGTGAGGGTGCTAGGGAGGGTTTAAAAAAGCTCAAAAAGTAAGTCGGAAAAAAATGAATTTTTATTTTTGACAAATATTAACATGTACAAATGTTATAATAATGGTTTCAAGAGATTTTATAATAAAATTTTAGATCTGTAGCTTATAAAAAAATTGCAAAATTTGTTCACAAAAGTGTAAGTGAAGAATTGTTTGCGCCACGTTCTAGTGTAAGTTGTTTATAAAAAACATGAAAAATAGAGTGGTAAAAATATTGTTCTTTTTCTATTTCATGACGGGATAACTCTTGGCCATATTTTTCTCTTCTGCAGAATGAATTTGTCCAAGGAAAGTACATAAGGATGCATAATATGAGATTAAGATTTAATCATTTGTTTAAAAGGGTTACATTATACAGTGTCTTTCTAAATGGCTTGTCTTTTTTGAATAACTCTTTATTAATATCAGCACAAAGTTAAATTGTTTGAATCTTTTATTTTTGAATTCTACAGGTTGGGACATTTGAAAAAACGTATTTATGATCTTCATTTATAATCACTTTGATCTTGCTCAAGCTCTGCTGAAATTGAGCTCAATTCATCTAAGAACAGGCTATAGTGCTTGGCGCCGGAGGTGATGAACAGTTTTCTTTAAATCTTCTGATTCAAGAGACTCTGCAAAGGACTCCAAGTGCCCCGCAGTTCGTTTCATGTTGGTAATATCTGTATGAGGAACCCTTCTTAACACTGCTAAATGCACTACCCTAGACCCAGCTGTAAAGCTTATTTTTTAACCACTCCATTAGCAGAGCTTATAAGGGTTCCTCATACAGATTATGACGACCTGAAACCAACTGTGGAGTCCTTTGAATCAGAAGATGTAAAGAAGGCTGTTCATCACCTAAGGTGCCGAGCACTAGAAGTGGACGAGCCTGTTCTCAGAAGAATGGAGCTCAATTTTAGCAGAGCTTAAGTAAGCATAAAATGATCATGAATAAAAATCATTGATATGTGTTCTCAATTGTCACAACCTGTAGAATTCAAAAATGTAAAATATAAACAATTTTATTTTGTGTTTATATTAATATAGAGCGATTTAAAAAAGACAAACTATTGGAAATTGTTTTAATATATATATTCCATTTTTGTTGGTTGTTTAAAGGTCATGTTAAAGAATGGGTTTGCAATATAATAAAGAGAGATCCATAACAACTATTTATTTGGCTCCAAAAAAAAAATACTATTATTTTGGTTCCCATTGTTTTTAAGTTTTTGGAAAAAAATGTTTTCTAAAACAACTGAAGGGTAAAATATTTATAGCAAAAATCTAAATAAAAAAACATGTCGAAAAGTAATTTTGTGAAATCTTTGTTCACGATGTGATAAAATATGTTAATTTCTAGATACAATAAGCTTTTCCACAAAGCAGAAATTAAATACAAGTTAATTTCAACTTTATGATAAAAATATGCTAACTCAAAAGTCACCCAACAAAAAGCAATTTGATTCTTGACTTTAAGATTCAGAATATATTGAAAATACGAAATATTTTATGACAATGAACAATCTAAATCCAAAAAGACTTTTAATTTGACAGCACAAAAATCAAAAAACTAAATGTTTAATAAAGAAATAACGCATTTCAATATTTTATTATCTATATAACAATTTCTAAATACATGTTCTAGTTTACAACACACAGGTTTAGCCTATCACATTTCAAATAGACCGTGTGTACTGTACTGTAAGTGTACAATTTACATTACAGTACCACGCTTTACATTATATTAATGTACTAATAATGTACATGAACATTTAAAAACCAGTAGGAACCTGTTCTCCACTATAAATCATGTACTTTTTGGTACTACAAAGACTACTGATCATATGTACATATGGTACAATTTTGTACGTAAATCTCATCCTAAGATTCGCATGCGTGTTCCATTGAAACTACGCGGTTCTAGAACCGGTTACATATCTACAGTAGCTAAAAGTCCGCCATGACAGTTCTAAATGGACTGGATGTTTAGGATGCCGCGGAACTAAGTTTATCTAAACATGCTCTACAGAAATGGACGTGTAAAGTTATCTATCAGTTTAAGCTAATATCTGAGCGATTATGGACAGTCTCAATAAAAAAGAAAATCACATATGTATGCTAAGCCAGGATATTTGAGTTATGTAAGTATATGTACAAAAATGAAAATTAGATTTCTTTTCAAATTTATCCATTTGGTTCGGACTGCCCTAATCCTAACGTCATTTAAATCAATTCATAAAAATAAAAAAAAAACACAATGTTCTGAAATTTGAAACTAAGGAGCTGTTTAAAATGATATATGTGATTAACTTTTCTTAACAGTTGTATAAAATCAAAATGAATTCTAAAAATCCGAAATACCCTGCACCAATGACGTAAAATTAAGGATAAACATGACGTCATATGGTAGTAAATTGTATTATGGATTGATTACAATTGTTTCTTGACAATATTCTTGGATGTTCTAAATTATAATTTCTACAAGGATGGATTGATGGCCTAGAAAACAGCCTAGCAGGTGGCAAGCTTAAGCACACGATAAAAACAAACATAAAACCAGTTTTATGTTTGTTTTTATCGTGAGACTAAGCTCTAAGGACCATGCATCTAAATAATATAAGCTTTAACCAAATTGAAAGAAGATTTTTTTATATTTCTGAAAAAAAATTAAAATCCGTGGACTTTTAGTCTGACGTGTTCTGGTAAATTTCAAATATTATCAATGATGAAAAATAAGTTTGAATTTCAAGTGATAATTTATCATTTCTTTGAGGTTAATGTTTTTCGAAAAACAAGACGAAACTTGTTTAAAAGGTTTCTTAATAATATTATTAGGAGATGTTTTATGATAATTTAGGCCGTATTCAATGTTCATTATTCACAATTAAATTTTCTAAATCTATATCACATTGAGTCTAAACATACAAATTCTAAAAATCACGTGACAGCAGTCTGAATACAAAACGTGTTTGTTTGTTTACTAACAATGTTCCCATATTTAAACTCACAGCTTTAAACCGAGCAAGAAAAGATGAAAATCCACGAATTAATCCTTAAAAATCTTGCAGTTGTTTGGTAGAAATGAATTTTCTGCAAATGTGCAATTTTTCAAGTATTCGATCGTCTGTGAAATTCGAAATGAAAATTTTTATTATCAAATTTTGTAAAAAATCTTTTCTTAAAAATACAATTAATAAAATCTTTTCTGTAGTCCAAATGCTGTTTTGTAACCGTATCCCTTCGGGTAAATATCAGGGATAAATATAAACAAAGTGTACATAAACAAACTGTAAACAAGAAACTAACCGTTACAGTTAAATACAATTAACAACATCAAGTTTGGTAAGCTAGAGTACATGTATAATAGTACACACCATAAAAATCAAAAGAAAAATTCTGAAATATAAAACGCATGATACAGCTCAACGGATTCATGTTTATAGGTCACGGAAGGTCAAAGGTCTGGTCAGGACAGGTCATGTCAGAGGACACGTAATGAATGGATAAGATGGCAGTTAGGGAGTAGGAACTAAGCAGGTTATAGAGTAGGAAAGAAACAGGCTAGAGAGTAGGAACTAAACAGGGTAGAGAGTAGGAAACAAACAGGCTAGAGAGTAGGAACTAAACAGGGTAGAGAGTAGGAACTAAACAGGTTAGAGATTAGGAACTAAACAGGTTAAAGAGTAGGAACTAAACAGGTTAAAGAGTAGGAACTAAACAGAGTAGAGATGAGGAACTAAACAGGTTAGAGATGAGCAACTAAACAGGTTAGAGAGTAGGAACTAAACAAGTTAGAGAGTAGGAAGTAAACAGGTTAGAGAGTAGGAACTCAACAGGTTAGAGAGTAGGAAATAAACAGGATATAGAGTAGGAACTAAACAGGTTAGAGTGTAGGAACTAAACAGGGTAGATAGTAGGAACTAAGCAGGTTAAAGAGTAGAAACTAGGGTATAGAGTGAGTACTAAACAGGGTAGAGAGTAGGAACTAAGCAGGTAAGAGAGTAGGAACTAAACAGGTTAGAGAGTAGGAACTGAACAGGTTAGAGAGTAGGAACTAAACAGGTAAGAGAGTAGGAACTAAACAGGTTAAAGAGTAGGAAATAAACAGGTTTGAGAGTAGGAACTAAACAGGTTAGAGACTCAGAGAGTAGGAAATAAACAGGTTAGAGAGTAGGAACTAAACAAGTTAGAGAGTAGGAAGTAAACAGGTTAGAGAGTAGGAACTCAACAGGTTAAAGAGTAGGAACTAAACATAGTAGAGATGAGGAACTAAACAGGTTAGAGATTAGGAACTAAACAGGTTAGAGAGCAGGAACTAAACAGGTTAGAGAGTTAGGAACTAAACAGGTTAGAGAGCAGGAACTAAACAGGTTAGAGAGTAGGAACTAAACAGGTTAGAGAGCAGGAACTAAACAGGTTAGAGAGCAGGAACTGAACAGGATACGGTTTACAGTTTAGGAATGCGGGAAAGTTGTATTCCATGAAGATAGGATGGATTTACATGAGACTGATTCTACACTTGGGAAATAAAATTCTAAGTTTCCCACCATTTAAAGTTCTATGTTTACGGTATCTTGTTAATAGGAATTGCAAAATTGATACTGTGAAGTTTGCACAAACTATTTTGCAACATCCGTTCAAATGAAGTTGACATAACATATTTGAAAAATGTACGATCGTGGACTTTGTAAAAAATACGTATTATGATTTATATTCAGGATTTCTAGTGTATAAGGAACTTTAACAAATTTAGGATTATATTATAAAATCTGGATCATGTGTGTGCAGGATACGTTTTTGATGCCATGTACCCATTTAGATAAACTACATATACAATCTTCACATTACATTGTTCAACATCAAAATGTATAAAGTATATGAATGCACAGCTAAATGTGACCCTAACCAAATGAAATGGTTTGGGATTAAAGATAGGTTTTAATAGTGAGGTTGCATTGACTTCATTTTATTGCACTGGTTCTGGTTCAGGTTCAGGTTTAGGTTCGACTATAGTCTCAAGCTCTTCCTACAGCTCGTATAAAGTTCCCTGAGAAAGGTTTAAACCATGCTGCGGGTACTAATGACGCTTCATATGAAGGGAGAGATGGTCGGATCTAGAAAACTGTCTTGTACACAGATGACATTTAAACGGTTTCTGACCTAAAACAGCAAATTCAAATAAAAGAAGAGTTTTATCTCAAGGCAACATTTAATATTTCACAAATTTTAACCCTGCTATTTGCTTAACTAAATCCCAGTCAATTAGGAATAAAGGAACTGAGTTTTTGCCACAAACTTGGATTTTCTAACCCCTATATATTTTCAACACGGTGACCTTTCTTATTTAAAACTATGAATTCTGTCAGATGAAATATGTAGACTAAGCTTGAAATATCAAAGGTAGGTTTACATCATCAGATTGGAAAGATATTAGAAAATTTGAGTTTGTGGCAAAAACTTAATTCCTCCCCAAATTAAAGCATAGAACTAGATTTAAATGTGTATTCGCTCCCCGTATCTTTTCCTAACCGATTTTAAGACGAAAAAACAGGCGTGACTCCTCAATTTTCTGTTTAATGAAATCCCCATCTATTCTAAAAAGCCTTTTAAAAATAAGTAAGGTTACTAAATGAAAATAAACATTGTCTAAAGAGCAATTAATATGCTATAAGAAATAAATCCGAATATTCAATAGAAAAAATCCAAATGCATAACAATTTAGACGAAACCTGTTTTTTATCGTAATTTACTTTGTGACGGATTGAGACTTATCGTAAACTCTTTTTATATTAAATTTGTAAAGTGTGATCAAGATAAGACGAGGATAAAGATATGACACGTAATTTTTGGCTGATATGAAACACTTATTCAGGATAAAATATTATCATAACACTTGCCAACTCCCCCCCCCTATTTACAAAGATAAGAATCTAATTCTCAAACTATCGTCTACTAACTTTGCTGGCAAAAGAAAATGTTATCTATCTCACTAACTCACTATCTTTCTGTCTTTAACAGTTTCTCAAATCGCATAGTTGAGTTTTAGGAAAAACATCACGATTTTATTCTTTCAAAAATTGTCATTTAGTATCCATTTCAATATCAATAATAAAAACGACTTTTAGGAGAAATATTATTTGGGGTCATAAACTTATCTTAATTTACTTATCTTTGTATCATTTTACCTGTATGTTTTCTATAATGTCTGGTCAACTCATCTGATCTTGCAAACTTCCAACCGCATCCAACCCAACTACATTCATATGGTTTCTCTCCAGTGTGGGTCCTTAACACAAATATGTATGTAAGTCTCTGTAATATAGGTAAAGGAATTGAGTTTTTGCACAAATTCAAATTCTAATCCCTATATCTTTGTAACCTTATTGAAAACCCTCTAAGATCATGGTTTTAGAGTTAGGTGAAAACCTGATAAGATCATAGTTTTAGAGTTAGGTAAAAACCTGATAAGATCATGGTTTTAGAGTTAGGTGAAGACCTTATAAGATCATGGTTTTAGAGTTAGGTAAAAACCTTATAAGATCATGGTTTTAGAGTTAGGTGAAAACCTAATAAGATCATGGTTTTAGAGTTAGGTGAAAACCTGATAAGATCATGGTTTTAGAGTTAGGTAAAAACCTTATAAGATCATGGTTTTAGAGTTAAGTGAAAACCTTATAAGATCATAGTTTTAGAGTTAGGTAAAAACCTGATAAGATGATGGTTTTAGAGTTAGGTGAAAACCTAATAAGATCATGGTTTTAGAGTTAGGTAAAAACCTTATAAGATCATGGTTTTAGAGTTAGGTGAAAACCTTATAAGATCATGGTTTTAGAATTTAGTGAAAACCTTATAAGATCATGGTTTTAGAGTTAGGTGACAATCTTATAAGATTATCATCATAGATGGGGCAGATTCTTCTGAAGTTGAAACCCTGTAAAGTGAAAACCTGTTAAGATTAAGGTTTCAGAGATGAGATAAGTTCCCTTAAAGGGACAGTAAGCGTAATTTCAAGTGCCCTTCCAGGCATAGATGACACTATTAGATTAACAATAATATCCTTTATACATTTTTCTGATCAAATATGTTAAAAATATTTTCGTTTTTCTAGATTTAAAAGTTTTTATCTCAAATTAATCAAACATTATTCCCTGCAATAGAAATGCGCAAATCATTTTTGTAGTGAAACTACAATTGAAATAATTAGCTTTCAAAATTATGTATATCTGATATCTGATGCATACTTGATCAGACAAAGCATAAGGGTACTGCTGTGAGTCATTGCCATCTTTGATTTCAGGTTTACTTAAAATTACCCCTTACAGACCCTTTAAATACTGATTCGATTAAAGTTCCAGGGTTAGGATTGCACTTTCTCTCCACCGATCAATCTGGAGTATAAAATGAACCCAACTGTTATCAGAACGTGTCAAGCTGAAGATGAAATTCTTTGGAGAAATCTTGGAACCACCTGAACCACCTGAACCACCTGGCTCTAAACGTAATTTCAAGTAACCAACCATATTTAAAGTGGCATGTGATCATATTCAGCAAATACGTAACCAACCAGAAAACGACGATATCCCTGAGGAGCCTGCAAAACTAAGGTTTGCTCCCTATTATTATTTGAATTTTATTAATAATATATTATATTTAATAGATATAATTGATAATATTGTTTATCCGTCCGTATCACGTGACCAGAACTCCTACCAATGACAGTGCAGTACCATTGTCATTCAAATAATGATGGGAGCAAACCTATGTTTATTATGCTTCTCTGGGATAACGTCGTTTTCAGATTGTTTACGTATTTGCTGTATATGATCTGCTAAACCTACGATTTTATACAAAATTTTATATATATAAATTTTCGTATAAATTTGACACAGTTTTATTTCAATTTCCTCGAGACAGGAATATCAGATAGAACTGTTAAAGGTCTCGATCAACTCCTAAAATGCTCAGGTTTCCGCCTTTACCCCCTTTCATTTTTCCTTTACAATCACTTTAAGTGTGAAATATGAAATATGCGTTCCTAATGTTAAGTATGAAATATGAAATATCTGTTCCTAATGTTGATTATAAAATATGAAATATCTGTTCCTAATATATTGAGTATTCGATATAGTAAGTTTTCAGATGTAATGAAATTCCTCCATTGTCTTATTAAGAACCTGTAAAATAAATCTTTTATTTTAATAAAAAGTTAAAAAGATGAAAATTTTCAAATATTATCATGACATCGCAAATTTCTGAAATTGCAACCTTTACAAGTGCAAACCTAGGGTTTCTGCGACAGATTGTGCAAACCGAAACTCTTTGATAAGAATTTATTTCCTTCGTAACAATAAGAAATAATTCTAATATCAGATCCAACACTGTCAAATAGTTCACATTGGAGAACACTCCAATTTCTCAAAAGCTCTGTATTTAACAAAAACAATCCTATGGTTGTCAATATAGCTTGAGATTAATTAAATTAATACTGGTTTATATATTCATGAAAACTTCTTAAGAGTCTCTTTGTTAGATAAGTCTTGTTTTAATACTGAAAACAGTATCTTTTTAAAACCTGGTCAACACCAGTTTTTTTATATTCCAATGGTTCCATTTTTATAAAACAAAGGTACTGGTTTTAATAAACCAATGGTTCTATTATTTAAAAGCAAAGGTACTGGTTTTAATAAACCAATCCGATGGTTTTATTATTTATAAACCAATGGTTCTGTTCTTCAAAACCCAATGGTTCTGTTCTTCAAAACCCAAAGGTACTGGTTTTAATAAACCAATGGTTCTATTATTTAAAAGCAAAGGTTCTGGTCTTATAAAACCGATGGTTTTATTATTTATAAACCAATGGTTCTGTTCTTCAAAACCCAATGGTTCTGTTCTTTAAAACCCAATGGTTATGTTCTTCAAAACCCAATGGTTCTATCATTTAAAAACCAATATATGGTTCTTTTACTTATAATCCAATGGTTCTATTATTTATAATCCAATGGTTCTATTATTTATAAACCAATAGTTCTTTTATTTATAAAAGAAAGGTTCTCTTCTTTTTAAACCAATGGTTTTATCATTTTTAAACCAATGGTTTTATCATTTTTAAACCAATGGTTCTACTATTTACAAAGCAAAGGTTCTCTTTTTTATAAACCAATGATTTTAAAATTATAATACAATGTTTCTATTATTTAAAAACCAATGGTTAAATTATTTATAAACCAATGGTTCTCTTTGTTAAAAAGCAATAGTTATCTTCTTTATAAACCAATGGTTTTATCATTTATAAACCAATGGTTTTATCATTTATAAACCAATGGTTCTGTTATTTGAAAACCAATGGTTCTATTATTTATAAACTAATGGTTCTTTTCTTTGAAAACCAATGGTTCTATTGATTAAAAACCAATGGATTTATTATTTATAAAACCTTGGTTTCATTTATATTGGCCTTTGGAAAATCTAGTTCCGTCTTTTAATTCTTCATATTCGTCCAAATAAAACCTTATTTCGTTTTTTTCCAATCATATGATTCCCTTTTTAAACCCCTTGTTATTGTTCTTTAGAACTCCTGGTTCATTTATTTCCTCTCCTGAACCCATTTCTCTTTAATCTTAAACGTAATAACTTGAAATATTTTGCCACTATTCTAAATTGCACCCTGAAATACTGCATACATATTTAAACTTTTTTAGGCTGCACATTCTCGTTATGTGTATTATATATATATATATATAGAAAGTGTGATTATCCTAAAGTAAAAACTAAGGTTGTAAAATCAAGTGAAAATAGCACCCAGTGACAGATTGCACTGTGAGTAGGGTTGAAGGACGAACCTATTGCAAAATTTAAATTACCTTTTATGAGCTTTGAGATGAGAACTCTTGGTGTACACTTTGTCACACCCGGAGAAATCACAACGATGTATTTTCTTCTTGTCATCACAGATAACATCTCCAGTGAGAGAGGACGAGACGAGACTGCTCCAGAGAGAATGATGCATCTCTGTCTCCTCAGGTAGATTCTGCTCCTGGAGAAGAAGGGACGCCTGCTTGAAATGCTGAAGAGCAAGGAGGGACTGAGGATGGTTGGATAATAACCTCTGCATGATCGTGCTTCCCATATTCATCTCATTGCAGTTCTTATCCAGGGCGGGTTCAGTCTTGATCACCGGAGTTATGGTAACTTCATTCTTCTCCTCTTTCATATATTCGTTCTCACATTGAAAACTCGAGATCTTCCTATAGTTAGGAACGGATAAAATCACCTTTTTGGTCTGCACATCACTTTCCGAGGATCTGAGACTAAGATCTAAGGGTATTTGATCCCCAACCATCTGTTTCACGGGGTTCTGTCCTTTTCTTTTCCCAGCTCCGGTAGGTTTAAAAACTCCGCCTCGTCTCTCCGCCTCCTTCTGCTCTCTGGCGGAGTTATCCGCCAACATTTGACCTAAATATAAAAAATGTATGAAGGCGAGTTATCTAATATTTTAAACCGATGGCTTGTAGAATATATTAGAAAAAAGTGTAAGAAAGCAATGAAGTTTTTGCCACAAACTTATATTTTTTTATCCCTACATCTTTGCAACCTCCATATTTCAATTATTTCAATGTGCAATTTTTTTTCAAGGCCTCATACTTTTTATGTTTATGTTACAATCACATCTTTGAGTTAAGTCGAAAATCGTCTTTCCGTTTTTTTAAGGAATTGAGTCCTTGCCACAACCTTAAATGTTCTAATCCCTATATCTTTGCAACCTGACAGTGTAAACCTTTGATATTTTAAGGATTGAAAATTCATTGTTTGTGGCAATGACTCAATTCTTTAATCTTAATTTTACAAGAATATGAATCCTACTTGAAAAAAAATTTGAAATAGCTTTTATGACTATTATTCATTAATATTTTTACGTTAACTAAATGAACAAATAATATTTTGCATAAAAAAGTAACTACAGTAACTACACTACAAATAAAATTATTGAATACAGTATACTTTTGGCACATTCTTAGTTTTGTAAAATTCAATGCTATCAATTATTTATCTAGATATTATTATATTGCTTTTGATGATGTTTAAAAATAATAAAATATGAATCTTGCTTTTACTGTTTAGAAATATGTTTTTTCTTTCTGCCTTTCTAGTGATATATAATTGATTAATGAGAATAAACAGTACAACACACCTTCACAAGTTAACTACAGTCTTATTATTACACAAAACACGAACTGTAAACTTTCTTAGTCAACAATTCAACGAGTTTTCTTTAATCCAAATTTTCTCCGGGTCTGAATTAGAACTATAGGCAAGGACGTGTAGGTTTATGATGATAAGGGAGTATTAGGGTGTGTGGTGGGGCGGGCGAGGTTCTGTAGAAATATTTCTAATTAATAGTGTGACAAGAAAGGGGGAGATATTGAATATTCTACAGATTTGTCGATTCAGCAGTCTCCGCTCTAACCTACTCTACTAATTCTACAGACTAAGGATATATCTAGTATCTACTTATTATACAAATCTATTTTCTAAAACAAATAATTTAGATTTATTTTGAAACATCATATGGTATAATCAGTGCATATGTATTATATATGTAAATATACAATCTAATTAGAACAGCTTATTAGTTAAACTTTTTTTATGAGACAAAAATGACAATTCAAAGCTTTCAATTTGTTCAGAGAAAATGATCAAATTTTACCTTTTTCAATTTTTTTCTTTGGGGTGTATATTCATCCCTTAACACCTTACACACAGTAGCTTGAGTAGCTTGAGTTCACTTTGACCAGATGACGTTTGAAACTAACTGTTACACTGTAAGATTACTCTAGGTAGGTATAATTCCACCTGTAGGACGGGACGGGTTCACTGGGAGAGCGGAGTTGCGCGTCCCAACCTTACTCCGGGGGGTACACAGGGTAGGAGGTGAAGTGTAGGACTAACTACGCCTGATATTGATTGGCGGGGTTGGGTGTGTAGGCCTAGAAGGCTGGAGCTAGGTGGAGTAGAGCTCCGAGGATTCAGAGGTTCAATCCTTCCCCACGAACCAATCTCTTATAAAAGGGAAATCCCAAACAAACCTAAATCAAATAATGCCTGTATCCCCCACTCCATTTACCCCTTTTCTAGATTTTTTTTACGGATCATTCTAACCTTGATTGATCCAAGCACATAGAAGATAAAAACTAGAATCTAGCTCTATATGTCTAGAACGGAGAAAAGTTCAGGTGAGGGTCTCCGGAGTTTAAAGCAACCGTCCTGTCCCGTGTTACAAAACGAGAAAGGAAATGCCTCCCTTTACATTATAGGAAATTTAAACTGCCCACCAAACATGTGTTCAACCCACCTTTCTTATATTGAAGCCCTTGTGTTGAAACCTCCTTCCCCTAGTATTTAAACTTTAACCCCAAAAACCTGATAAGATGATGGTTTTAGAGTTAGGTGAAAATCTAATAAGATCATGGTTTTAGAGTTAGGTGACAATCTTATAAGATTATCATCATAGATGGGGCAGATTCTTCTGAAGTTGAAACCCTGTAAAGTGAAAACGCCCCGTTCTCAACTTGCTCCTTCCCTCCATCCCTTGTGTTCAAAAACCTTTCTTGAATTTAGCCATACTCCGTTCCTATCCCTTGTGTTTATTCACTTTGAGTTTAAACCTTCTCCCTCCCTAGTCCCTACACCCTTGTGTTTAGTTCATCCCCCTACCACCATCCTTGTGTTTAATAACTGCATGCTCTCTCTTTACCACCCTTGTGTTCAAATCTACCCCCTCGACCCGACCCTTGTGTTTATCCCCCTCCCCCATCCTTGTGTTTACCCTCCCCTCTTGACAACCCCTGAGAATAAATCTACCCCAAGGACCCAACTCTTGCGTTTAAATCCCTCCCTCTCCCCCAACCCTTGTGTTTACCCTCCCCCTTCCACCCCCTTGTAAATAAATCTACTCCCTTTACCAAACACTTGTAATATCCCCCCCCCCTCCATTCTTGTGTTTAAATCTACTTCCGCCCTTGTATTCGAAACCATCCCCCTTGAGTTTAATCATGCTTCCTCTATCCTCCCTGAGTTGTTCTTGTTACATACAGCGTTATTTTCAAAATTTGGGAAAAGACTTTTTACATATGACAATCTGTTTGTTAGATTTGGTCCTCTGCCTTCAGTTTCGTATTTTAATGATTTTCTGAAAGGTTTGGTAAAGAAAAATGCTTGTTTTCAAATGTCGAAGGAAAATAACTTTGGTACATCCTGACCTTTATAAGTAAAAATAATCTATATGTAAATATAAGTTCACGAAGTGGGTATTTTTGTGTTTTTAGGTCATCAAAAAATTGTTATTTCTGAAACATGTTTAAAAAGGACCTATAGAATACCATGTTTTAATTCTTCCAGACATAATCAAAATTAAAAAGTATGCTTCGAAAATACTACCAATTCCCCTAAAAACCCCTTTTTATTTACAGAATATTTGATTACACAAAAGATAATTTTAGCTAAATGATGGCGTTAATGAAGTTTCATCTTTACCATCATAGGTTTCTTTGTATTTATTATTTAATTTTAACTTATATTTTAAAAAGGCATACACATCAAAAATCTTTTTATCAAAAACATATGCTTAACAGATGTAAAATTCAAAATTTAGAAACATTTATTTATTGGTATAAAATGAGATAGTAAAGTAGTGGTTGGTTCCTTTCTGTGAGCCTACATTACTATTCCTTGATTGATTTAGATCTTCTCCTGCAGTTGGTCACGGATAGGTTCACACTTAGATATAAAGGTTTCTGTAAACATTTCAAGTTTATCTTGCTGCCAGGGTTGGTATTCAGGGATAAAATCCTTCTCTTCCAGTCCCTGGCTCCTCATAAGTTTCTCTATTCCTCTTTTCAACCTGCTCGTCCATTCTCCAGCCTCAGTCTCAGGGCTCAGGGATAACTCGGAGCAGTATACCTCAAGGAGAGAGTCCAGAAGTATCTCCAGGTTGTTGATTCTACTAGCAAACATGGTTCGTCTCCGACATTCAATGGAAAGCACGTTTCTTAGAGTTGTTTTTAACATTTCAATCAGATTTGTTTTGAAAGATAATGTTTTTGCACTTGTTGAACAGTTTCTAGGTCCTGAAATATGCCCAGGAGCCGGTTCGTATTCTCCTTTAAGAGCCAGAAGTCTGCAGGTTCCTCGTTTCCAGGGTTGGTAGTGGTTCATGGAGAAGAACAAGAAGTAATTACAATCAGGGGCCTCCACACATTCACCTTGACATTGCTCTGGAGTTTGAACTTGTATCTCTGCAATCCTTCCTCCAGAAAGATCCGTCCCGGTTAATCTCTGATCAATATGATGACAAGGTTCATATACTCCAGGAATATCTTCTGAATCCTCTCTAGTCAACTGCTCAGTTATATTTTGTGCTGGAGCTTCAAGTCCGGATTCTGAAAAGATTGCAGTTTCTCCGGAGCATTCAAACTCCTGTTCAAACCCAAGCTTGAGAACCAGGTCCTCCAGGTGTAGATTTATACTGTCCGATATATTGCCCAGAATGTCCGGAGAATATTCCTGCTCCAGGTTGGTCATGAATCCTGCAGAATATTGTGTAATAGTTTTAACCATCTCAATAGCGGAGACTATCTTGCTCTCCTCCTCCAGTCTGCTCTCTATACTTGAGATAAACACAGAACTCAACTCAACCCTGTTCTTCAAATCAGCAAAACTCATCCCTTGCTGGAGTATCAATATAATAATATAAAACTGTAGTACCAACATTTTAGATCTATGCTCCTATAGACGCAGATAGCTATGAAATATATCTGTATAATGTATATGATGATATCTGGGGTAAATGATCAACTAAACTCTAGAATGAATTTCTTCTTTTCAGTTTCATTAGTCCGGAACTTATTCAGACTCTTCAAAGGATATTCATCAATAGAAAGCAATGGTGCGGAGCAGATTTTAAAAAATCCAAATAACGAGAAAACTTTTTAAATTGTAAAAAACTAGATTTTGAAGTCCCTAGTTACCTGTCATGGCCATTTTAAGGCAATTAGGCAATACAAATTAAGACGATTAAGAATTTTTAAAAAAATGAAGACGATTATATATAAATACAAAAAATATAACGAAGATATTTAGGAATGCAAACAGTAAGATGAAGACCAATCAGAAATACAAAAATAATATGAAACAGTTGGGTATGTTCAAAATAAGATGAAGATGATAAGGAATGGAAAAGTAGATTAAGACGACTAAAAAAGACAAAAAAGAAATAGATGATAAAGTAGGTTAAAAATAAGATGAGGTTGATTATAAAGGCAAATAATAAGATAATGATGATTAAGAATGTTGAAAATAAGATGAGGACAATTGTAAAGGCAACAAATAAGATGATGATTAAGAATGTTAAGAATAAGATGAGGATGATTATAAAGGCAAAAAATAAGATGAAAATTATCAGGAATGAAATAAAAACTAATAAGAGTAATGATTTCTTGCTAAAGATACAGGGTTACCCACAAAGGATGAGACTTCAGAGACGATTGTTCGGAATTTGTTTTCTTGCATTCAGGGTTTATTGTAGTCCAAAACTAGCTTATTTCTGTGCTTAATTATTTAGTAAACCATCCAAATACTTAGCTGAATGCAGAAACCAAAAATCAAGCTTCAAATCGTCTTATTTTTTTAGTTTAAGGTCGTCTTTACAGTCTCATTCGTAGTGGGTAACCCTGTATCTTTTTGTCTGAATCAATGTGCAATGTACATGATAGGATAGTCTTCAGTTATTTACATATGTAAAACCGGGTCATATAAAACTCAGCCAAGGGTTTGAGAGTAATTTATTTGTATAGCTTTAATTGAAAGATGACCTTATCTTTTAACTGTTGCATTTTTTCCCAAGATATTTGGCTATCGGAACAGTACATAGATAAATTGGATATACATAGATAAATTGGATATACAATTTTATTGTTTTATGTCAACGAACAGATTTAAATTCATAAGAAATCAAGATATATCAATGTTTTTGCGGTAACTTAACAATAAAACGAATATTTCTATCAATGTCGTCTTAACCATTCGGTTCTCAGGATTTACCCTGAACCAGCTCTTTAACTTTATAATAACAATTCATTAGGCTGATATTTTCCCTCCCGTTTTTCTAATCAATTTTCTTGTTCCAGCAGATCCTCTTTCTTGTAAAGCGTTTTCCAACTTTCTGAAACATTAAATAATGGTTTATAGTTCTGTCCTATGTATCTGTCAGAAAATCTACAGATTACCCGTCATTCCCGTCATACAATCGTTAGTTGATTTACAGATAGGAATTTGGTGGATGGTTGATAAAAACAGATAAATAGTTTGGCATGATCATGGTTGATATGGAAAGTTTAGACCCCTGAATATTAAATACGGATCTGGATATTTTAAACAGTTTGGATCACTGGATATTTTAAACAGTTTGGACCACTGGATATTTTAAATAGTTTGGACCACTGGATATTATTTGCGGTTTGGACCACTGGATATCTTAAACAGTTTGGACCACTGGATAGTATTTACGGAATTGGATGATTGGATATTTCAAACAGTTTGGACCACTGGATATTTTAAACAGTTTGAAACACTGGATATTAAATACGATTTGGATCACTGGACATTTTAAACAATTTGGACAACTGGATATTATATGTACGGTTTGGACCATTGGATATTTTAAACAGTTTGGGCCACTGGATATTATGAACAGTTTGGACCACTGGATATTATGAACAGTTTGGACCACTGGATATTATGAACAGTTTGGAACACTGGATATTATGAATAGTTTGGATTACGGGATATTTTAAACGGTTTGGTCCACTGGATATTACGTGCAGTTTGGACCATTGGATATTATGAACAGTTAGGACCAATGGATATTTTAAACAGTTTGGTCCACTGGTTATTATGAACAGTTTGGACCACTGGATTAATTAACCATTTTGGACCGCTGGATATTATAAACAGTTTGGACCATTGGATATTATAAACAGTTTGGACCACTGGAAATTATGAACAGTTTGAGCCACAAGATATTATGAACAGTTTGGACCACGGGACATTATATACGTTTGGACCACTGAATATCACAAACAGTTTGGACCACGGGATATTATGAACAGTTTGGACCACTGGATAATTTAAACAGTTTGGACCACTGAAAATTATAAACAGTTTGGACCACCGAATATATTATGAACAGTTTGGACCACTGAATATATTATGAACAGTTTGGACCACTGAATATATTATGAACAGTTTGGACCACTGAATATATAATTAACAGTTTGGACCAATGGATAATTAAAGTTTTGACCAATGCATGCAGCATGGGAATGAGCCGTTGACTTTAAAATAGTCCTAAATCAATTTACAGCCAAAGCTCCATCTTTTAGTAACTTTAAATCTTTGTTTCCCCTCTGGTTAGAATCCAACTCACCCAACCTGTTTATATTCTGAATAGAAGTGAGATCTGTGTGAAGAGTAAAGGAAGTATTTTTCATTTCATCCTTCAGATCCAACCTCAGATTCACCAGGGGTCGAACCTTCACAAAATTTTAGAAAAATATTTAAAAATGATTATTTCCTAATTAAATACAAACTTTGATCAAAATTCAGTTTTTTTCCCACCTGTTTAAGAACACATCTGAAAATAAAAATCAAATTAAAATTTTTTTTAGATTCATAAAGTTAAGTACAAAGTGCTTAAAGGAAGTGAACACTCGACACAAACTCCAGTTTTTTAATCATGTCTTTGCAAACGGATGTTGTAGACCTTTGAAAGTTCAAACTTAGACTATCTGATCAAACAGAATTCATAGTTTGAAAAACCGAAGGTATTTACAATATCTGGGTAAAAAACATGGGAATTAGAAAACTTGGATTTGTGTTGAGTCTTTGAAAGTGTAAAATGCTTTTTAACCAGCCCTGCAAACATTTAGTCTCCGACAAAGTCCAGAATTATTTACCCAAAAAATAATAAAATTTTAAATGTGAATACCTTGAGGCTAGAAGAATGTCAAGTCTCCAGTCTAGGTTCTGATAATGTACTCCAGGTACACTCAATACCAGGCTTCTCAGGGTACCTTCTTCCTTCAAACAGAATATTAAATCATTTCCAAGAGATTATCTATATATAGAGTTTTATAATATTTTCCTTTAAAGTTACTTTCGACAGCTTTGCAAACTCTAGGTTCACCAGGAATAAATGCAATTTAAATTAGAAAAGCTTAATTAAACACTAATATTCTGAATGACTGGCTCAACGAGATGTTAATGAAAACAACAATATTTGTTTTTTTTTATATGAGAACTTAGGCTAGACGCAAAAATTTAAAATGCCTATATATATAGATTATATAGATTATATAGATGTCATAATACATGTAATCACATCGATTGTAACAAATTATTCTGCCCGTTATAACACAACTTATTTGTCATAAGTTCAGAAGAAAAAAAAACCTTAATCCCGTAGTTTTTCTGATTTGAACAGTGTTTATTTCTGCGAAGTTCTCCATTGTTTCTCATAAACAAGAAATGCGCAAGGCACTTTTGCAGAGAAAGCTCAAATTAAAGTAAATAGTTTAAAGAAACCAAAAACAATGAAAACAATGATATATAATATCTGCTTGATCAGAAAAAGGTTTAAAGGATACCGTTGTAAATCGGGTATTGCCGTCTTTGCATGGAAGGTCACTTGAAATTACTCGTACAGTGCCTTTCCATAAAAATAAAAAGTGGTTTTAGATTGATAATGAAATCTTAAAACTAATTTGAATAATTTTGATTAAACTTGATCAAATAACTATGCACGGACCTACAAACCACTCAGCAACACCAATGCAATTCTATATGAGAGCTTACAGCCTAATTTATTCATTAATTATCAAATATCCATAACAAACAGTATATCCCCATACATTTTTATGTATAGTATATCCCCATACATTTTATATATAGTATATCCCCATACATTTTATATATAGTATATCCCCATACATTTTTATATATAGTATATCCCCATACATTTTTATGTATAGTATATCCCCATACATTTTATATATAGTATATCCCCATACATTTTTATGTATAGTATATCCCCATACATTTTTATATATAGTATATCCCCATACATTTTTATATATAGTATATCCCCATACATTTTATATATTTTAGTTTTATTATTATTCTTGTCCTTTATAAAAATAAAATCAACGACAGAAATGTTAAAAAATTGCAAAAAAGAAGATTGGTTAATTGTTAATGTCCCAGGAGATTGTAATCTTAATTTCAAGTAACCCTTCAATGATAAGAGCCATAAGCACATTTATCTGATAAACAATAAAATAATCAATATCTGGGATATTGTCTCTGTATAGATCAAAATCCAGAATTATTTTTTTTAGAAAATCCTCCAGTTATTGGCACTTCTATTCAAATCTTAATCTTGATCTCGATATTAAATGTGGATACTTTAAGTATGAGGATTAATGCTTGATTCCTACTATACGGGATATTTAAGAAGAATTAGATTCATCCGTAGGTCTGCATAGGGTGGAGATCATCCTTGATCCTGAGATTCACAAAAGTTATGAGTTCCGAGCTGGGAACTTTTGAATGGTGGATATTGGGATTAATGCTTAATCCCCTCTTTTACTTAATTTCCGGAATAAATAACACTTGTACTCCCCTTGTTATCAATCTCCAGATTAATTAACCGATCGGGATTAAGGATATCCAATTCTAAAGTTCCCAGCTCAGGTAAAATGAGATTCTGTTTTTAAAGGAATCGAGTCTTTAACACAAACTCAAATTTTCTAATCCCTATATCTTAGCAACCCAATATTGTAGACCTTAGATATTTCAAACTATGAATTCTGTTAGATAATCTAAGTTTGAAATATCAGAGGTTTACACCACCAGAGCTGAAAACTTTAGAATGGTGGATATCGGGATTAAGGCTTAATCCACTCTTTTTCTTAATCTGCAGATTAAATATTGCTTGTTCTCCACTCATTTTTAATCTCCAGATTAATTATCCGATCAGGATTAAGGATATCCCATTCAAAAGTTCCCATCTCAGGTTGCAAAAATTTAAGGATTAGAATATTTTATTCTTTTTTGCATAGACTCCATTCCTTTAATCTAACAATTTTTTTTTTAAATTACAGACAACGTCTGGTCTGAATGAAATCCAATGTTTTAAAGTTCAAAAAAATCACACCCCTCCTGAGCCGGCGAATTAAAAAATTCAAGAAAATACGACTCGGGTCTAAGCTGATGTTGAGCCTTATTTACGGCTCGGGCTTTCGAATTTAAGTTGCATCTATTTTTCAACTGAATTTAGTTCATAAAACCGGTTTAATGTTGTATTTGGCGGATTTTCATAGTTGGAATTGGTGCATTCCGGGTTTTGATGAGAATAAGACCCAACATTGAGCCTTATTCTTCACTAAAACCAACCAAGGTCAGTTTTATTTTCATTGGGCTTAACTCCTTAAGTCGAACCTAAGATCTCGCAGCTGTCAATCACGTGACACAAGCTGTCGTTAGAGTTGGGTCTAAGATTGGGTCTTAAAGCTGCGTTTAAGGAATTAAGACTCGAGCCGAAGCTTTTAAATCGCGGGCTCTGGACAAAAAAAAAGTCTGATTAAAAACTCATTAGATAAGACCTATTCGAAGTGAAAGCTGGATATCTGTTGGACTTATTTTGACATTTTTTTTAAATTTGATCTGCTCCTTCTTGGTAGTTATAGACCATTTTTGGGACACCCGAAATACATAATAAAACTTCATTATGCGATATCTTACTTTTGGCACAAGATCACTGCACAGGGAACTTTTTAAACAGTTTTGAAGAATTTATATTGACCCTAACTCGCTCTGCTCGCGCGGAACAGACAAAAATGTGTTTTTACTCTTCCAGTCATGATGACCTCAGTTGATTGAATATTCATTAAAAGAACTGGAACACCTTTAAATCCATGGTTTAGGTAAAATTATCCAAGGTTTAAATGAGAAACTTCTTGGTTTGTATGATAAATCCGTGGTTTAGGTGATAAATTCCAAGTTTTAAATAGTTTTCTAGAGGTTAATGATAAATCCATGATTCAGGTGATTAACTCTAAGGATTGAATAAAAACTCCATGGTTTAGATGATAAACTTTATGATGGTTTAAAAGAAAAGTCTATGGTTTAAATGCAAAACTCTATGGTTAATGGTTTAAATGAAGAACTCCATGGTTTAATAAAAACCTCCATGGTTTAGATGATAAATTCCATAGTTACAATGAAAAACTTCTAGTTAGATGAAAAAGTCAATGGATTGAATGAAAAAGGCCATGGTTTAGATGATAAACTTTAAGGTTCAGGTAACGAACTCCAAGGTATATCTGCAAAACTCCAAGGTTTATGTGAAAAACTCCAAGGTTCAACTGAAAAACTCCAAGGTTTAGGGGATACACTCCAAGGTTTAGGGGATAAACTCTAAGGTTTGAATAAGAATTCTATTCTTCAGGAGATAAACTCCAAGGTTTTTCTGATAAAACCTATAGTTTAGGTGATACTCCAAGGTTTAAATGAAAAATTCCAAGGTTACTATGTTAAACTCAAAGATTCAGGCGATAAAGTCCAATATTATTTAGCTCAATAACTTATGGTTTAAATGACTAAATGATCCATGGTTTAGGTTAATAACTCCATGGGTTAGATGATTAACTCATGGATTAAATAATAAACTACCAATACTATAACTACCAACAAGGATCAGATAAGATTATAAAAAAGGTCAAAATTAGTCCAACAGATATCCAGCTTTAACTTCTCAGGTCTCACCCGTTGTGTTTTTAATAAACTTTTTTTTGTTCAGGAGAGTTGTGAAGACATTGTGAAACCTAATGTGCACTAATAATATCGTTTCAGAAATTCTTTGTGAAGGATAAGTTTGGTTTTAAAGGCAAAGTTTAGTTTATATTGTATACTACAAAGTACAAATATTAATTCGGAGCTATTTTAATTGCCTCCTGTCTGGTTCTATTTGTGTAATCTGCTGTTGAATAAATTCTACGAAATCTTGTGGTCATTAAGTGTTAAAATATTCTCACCTGCTTAAAGCATGCCAGGATTGTCTCTTTTACTTCATCTCCTCTTTCTATATCCTGGAATACTTCAGCCCAGCTTATCTTCTTCCTCAGGACGGATAGAAACATAGTCTAGGATAGAAACATAGTATAGGATAGAAACATAGTATAGGATAGGAACATAGTCTAGGATAGAAACATAGTCTAGGATAGAAACATAGTCTAGGATAGAAACATAGTCTAGGATAGAAACATAGTCTAGGATAGAAACATACTCTAGGATAAAAACATAGTCTAGGATAGGAACATAGTCTAGGATAAAAACCTAGCCTAGGATAAAAACATAGTCTAGGATAGGAACATAGTCTAGGATAAAAACATAGTCTAGGATAGGAACATAGTCTAGGATAGAAACATAGTCTAGGATAGGAAAATAGTCTAGGATAGAAACATAGTCTAGGATAGTAACATAGTATAGGATAGGAACATAGTCTAGGATAGGAACATATTCTAGGATAGGAAAATAGTCTAGGCTAGAAACATAGTCTAGGATAAAAACATAGTCTAGGATAGGAAAATAGTCTGGGATGGGAACATAGTCTAGGATAGAAACATAGTTTAGGATAGGAACATAGTCTAGGATAGGAACATAGTCTAGGATAGGAACATAGTCTAGGATAGGAACATAGTCTAGGATAGAAACATAGTCTAGGATAGGAATATACTCTAGGATAGAAACATAGTCTAGGATAGAAACATAGTCTAGGATAGGAATATACTCTAGGATAGAAACATAGTCTAGGATAGGAACATAGTCTAGGATAGAAACATAGTCTAGGATAGAAACATAGTTTAGGATAGGAACATAGTCTAGGATAGAAACATAGTCTAGGATAGGAACATAGTCTAGGATAGAAACATAGTCTAGGATAGGAATATACTCTAGGATAGAAATATAGTCTAGGATAGAAACATAGTCTAGGATAGAAACATACTCTAGGATAAAAACATACTCTAGGATAGAAACATAGTCTAGGATAGGAACATAGTCTAGGATAGGAGCATAGTCTAGGAGAGGAACATAGTCTAGGATAGGAACATAGTCTAGGATAGGAGCATAGTCTAGGAGAGGAACATAGTCTGGATAGGAACATAGTCTAGGATAGGAACATAGTCTAGGATAGGAACAAATCCTAGGATAGGAACATACTCTGAGATAGAAACATAGTCTAGGATATGAATATAGTCTAGGATAGGAACATAGTCTAGGATAGGAGCATAGTCTAGGATAGGAGCATAGTCTAGGATAGGAGCATAGTCTAGGATAGGAACATAGTCTAGGATAAGAATATAGTCTAGGATAGGAACATAGTCTAGGATAGGAACATAGTCTAGGACAGGAGCATAGTCTAGGATAGAACATACTCTACGACAAACAAACTCTAGGATAGAACCTCCCCCCCCCTCTTCCTCTAAAAATGGTTTGATTGGAGTTTCCAATAATTTTCTACCTCATTGCACAACACTGAGTCTCCGTTACTATAGGAACAGATTTTAAAATAGAAAAGGAAAAAGAATATTTCTCGAAAACATTTTCATCTTTGACATAAAAAAGAAAAAAAACTTGTATGCTCTCTAATATCAAGAAACAATTATTTTTATTTCTGCCATGAACAAATATTTTTGCTCCGTGACATGAACTGACATTATTTTCTTTTCTTACTAACAAGCATTTTTCTTACAAACTTTATCTTATATTAACATACGTTTTCCTAGCTCCCACCTTTTCTTTATTTAACTTTTTTGTTCAATAATGCTTAAGGTTTAGATCTCTACTTTATCTCACCTAGAGAATATCCAAGATTTGCAGGTTTAGGATTCTACTTCATCTTACCTAGAGAATATCCAAGATTTGCAGGTTTAGGATTCTACTTCATCTTACCTGGAGAATATCCAAGGTTTGCAGGTTTAGGTCTCTAGTTCATCTTACCTGAAGAATATCCAAGGTTTAAAGGTTTAGGATTCTACTTCATCTTACCTGGAGAATATCCAAGGTTTGCAGATTTAGGTCTCTAGTTCATCTTACCTGAAGAATATCCAAGGTTTAAAGGTTTAGGAGTCTACTTCATCTTACCTGAAGAATATCCAAAGTTTGAAGGTTTAGGATTCTACTTCATCTTACATAGAGAATATCCAAGGTTTGAAGGTTTAGGTCTCTAGTTCATCTTACCTGGAGAATATCCAAGGTTTGAAGGTTTAGGATTCTACTTCATCTTACATAGAGAATATTCAAGGTTTGAAGGTTTAGGTCTCTAGTTCATCTTACCTGGAGAATATCCAAGGTTTGAAGGTTTAGGATTCTACTTCATCTTACATAGAGAATATCCAAGGTTTGAAGGTTTAGGTCTCTAGTTCATCTTACCTGGAGAGTATCCAAGGTTTGAGGTTTACAACTCTATAAATACATCTTACCTAGAGAATATCCAAGGTTTGATGGTTTAGATCTCTACTTTATCTTACCTGGAGAATATCCAAAGTCTGAAGGTTTACATCTCTAGTTCATCTTACCTAGAGAATATCCAAGATTTGCAGGTTTAGGATTCTACTTCATCTTACCTAGAGAATATCCAAGGTTTGGAGGTTTAGGATTCAACTTCATCTTACCTAGAGAATATCCAAGGTCTGGAGGTTTAGGATTCAACTTCATCTCACCTAGAGAATATCCAATTTTTGCAGGTTTAGGATTCTACTTCATCTTACCTGGAGAATATCTAAGGTTTGAAGATTTGGTCTCAGTTCATCTTACCAAGAGAATATCCTAGGTTTGAAGGTTTAGGATTCTATTTCATCTTACCTGGAGTATATCTAAGGTTTGAAGGTTTAGGTCTCTAGTTCATCTTACCTGGAGAATAGTCAAGGTTTGAAGGTTTAGGTCTGTAGTTCATCTTACCTGGAGAATATCCAAGGTTTGAAGGTTTAGGTCTGTAGTTCATCTTACCTGGAGAATATCCAAGGTTTGAAGGTTTACATCTCTCGTTCATCTTACCTGGAGTATATCTAAGGTTTGAAGGTTTATGTCTGACGTCTGTAGTTCATCTTACTTGGAGAATATCCAAGGTTTGAGGTTTACAACTCTAATTCATCTTACCTAGAGAATATCCAAGGTTTGAAGGTTTAGGTCTCTAGTTCATCTTACCTAGAGAATATCCAAGGTTTGAAGGTTTAGGTCTCTAGTTCATCTTACCTGGAGAATATCCAAGGTTTGAAGGTTTAGGTCTCTAGTTCATCTTATCTGGAGAATATCCAAGGTTTGAAGGTTTAGGTCTCTAGTTCATCTTACCTGGAGTATATCTAAGGTTTGAAGATCTGCAGAATCAAATTTAGAACTTCTTCCACTATTAACATCCTTTAACATATACAAAATGTTGAAGCAAGATATTGAAAAGATTTTAATAAAAGTCACTTCAGAAAGATTTATGGTACAGATCGTTCACACCAATTCTGGAGAGCAAAAAATTACTTATTCATGTCTCATCATAAATTGTACTCTTAGAACCTTGTGCTTTAAATTAGTGCTCAACCTCTTTGCACATTTTTTAGTGGTTCAAGTGAGATTTTGAAGATGTTTGCATTATGGGATTAAATGATAAATGATAATGGAATTGCAAAATATTTTTGAAATAATCTGATGGAAATGCTTGCAAGCTGCATTTTCCACCCTGAGATTAAAGTCAATTCTTTGGTTTAACGTTTTCTCTTTACTTGAACACTGTGACTCTGTTAACCAAGCTGTCAAGGAAAACTCGATTCAAATTTTACCAAAAAGCTAAAAATAGTTCTAAAGTTAGAAAAATCCAAAGAATTATAATGTAATAATATTGTTATTTCAGAGGTGTACGAATGTTTAATACTGCAGTGTACTGTCTCTGCAGGGCGGTAAAGTAAACACAAGACGGATGTTCCAGCCTGAATTGGGCATAATCTTTCACATAAAAAATCAATGAAATATTCTGGTTATAAGAAACTATTATGTAAATTATCAAAATTTTAAAAACAAAATGCTTTTATCCTTCTCGGATACTAGAGGAACACTGAGGCATCTATTCTTGTTTACAAACACCGCCCAGGGAGAACTGGTTTCAATATGTACGCAGAGAATACGCAGATGCAATAAAATTTCCTTGCCCTATTAACTTGGTAAAATCAAGTCCGAAGCGATGCGATTCATTTTTTGAAAATTTATGCAACTTTTCAAAGCAGTCTGGATCTATGTGGAATGTGGTGTGCAGTCTGGATCTATGTGGAATGTGGTGTGCAGTCTGGATCTATGTGGAATGGGGTGCGCAGCATTTTAAAATATTAATATTTATCACTTTTAAACGTTGTTCATTTCGCTCTTGTGTACAATAAAATTTCTATTTAACATTTTTAGATTTGATATTTTATAGAGAGGACATTTTAAAGTTTGAACATTTCATTTAATTGACAAATCATAGATTTGCTATCTCATAGGTTTGACATTTCATATTTTTACTCCAGATGACATTTCATTAAGAAGATATATTAAACAGACAGATGAAAAAAAATGTTAAGGATAGTAAAAGATTCTATAAAATGTTTTGTCTATGAATCTCCTATCTACTCAATAAATGTATCTATGAAATATCTATTTATAAGATATACATTCATGACCTGTTCATTCATGAACTGTTCATTCATGCACTGTTCATTCACGAACTGTTCATTCATGAACTGTTCATTCATGAACTGTTCATTCATGAACTGTTCTTTCATGAACTGTTTATTCATGAACTGTCCAATCATGAACTGTTCATTCATGAACTGTTCATGCATGAACTGTCCAATCATGAACTGTCCAATCATGAATTGTCCAATCATGAGCTGACCATTCATGAACTGTCCAATCATGAACTGTTCATTCATGAATTGTCCAATCATGAACTGTCCAATCACGAACTGTCCAATCATAAATTGTCCAATCACGAACTGTCCTATCAAGAAATGTCCAATCATTAACTGTCCAATCATGAAATGTCCAATCACGAACTGTCCAATCATGAACTGTCTAATCATGAACTATCTAATCATGAACTGTCAAATCATGAACTGTCCATTCATAAATTGTTTATTCATGAACTGTTCAATCATGAACTGTCCATTCATAAATTGTTTATTCATGAACTGTTCAATCATGAGCTGTCTAATCATGAACTGTCCAACCATGAACTGTCTAACCATGAACTGTCCAATCATAAACTGTCAAACCATGAACTATCTAACCTTGAACTTTCCAATCAAGAATTATCCAATCATGAACTGTCCATTCATGAACTGTCTGATCATGAACTGTCCAAATCATGAACTGTCTGATCATGAACTGTCCAATCATAAGCTGTCAAACCATGAACTGCTCAATCACAAACTGTCCAATCATGAACTGTCCAATCATGAACTGTTCAATCATAAACTGTCTAATCATAAACTGTTTAATCATGAATTGTCCAATTATGAACTGTTTTTTTCCATCAAATGTTTATCTATAAAAATCTGTGAAATGTCAACCCATTAAATGTCCCACAAAATATTTAGTAAACCCCAAAAATACGCAAGAGTGTATGTTAAAAATGTTTATAATGTCACGTAAAACTAAAGTATTTTACACGAAACATTCAAATCTTTTCATAAAAGCTTTTCAGTCCTAAAAGCTGTCGAGGAGAACAACAATTGCTTAAATTTCTAATGTAAAACAAAATAAATTTTATTTTTTCCTACTTGGTCGTAAAAATTAAAGCTGGGAGGTAAAACAATTCGTACCAGAGATTTTATTATCTCCTTGTACAGCTAGTTGGCTGTGATGTATAAAAGTAAAATAAATGAATAAATAAAATATTTTGGATTGAACTTATAAATATTTTATATATTTGTGAGAGAGTAAACTACTCCACCTAACCTCTAAATTCAACCTGACATTATTAAACTCAAACCTAATCTAACCTTAGTAAACCTTAAAATATTTCATTTCTTTTTGTACTTTTCTATTAGATTATGTCAACTAAATATTTATATAGTAACAAAATATATATTTACCCTGATATGTTGTCGGAAATGCTTATATATTCTCTAAATATATATATCTACCCTAATATATTGTTGGAAGTGTTTATATATTCTCTAAATATATATATTTACCCTAATATATTGTTGGAAGTGTTTATATATTCACTAAATATATATATTTACCCTAATATATTGTTGGAAATGCTTATATATTCACTAAATATATATATTTACCCTAATATATTGTTGGAAATGTTTATATATTCACTAAATATATATATTTACCCTGATATATTGTTGGAAATGTTTACATGAATCCTGAATATCCTTTAAACTGTTCTCCTGGATATATTCTCTAAACTGCAGAACTAGAACATTCATATTTGGTCTGAAATGTTACCTTATGTACATCCTTTACTGTAATATAACTAACTTTAAGTAAACTTGTAAAGTAATGTACCATGTGTTCCTCCTGTATTTTGTGTACCTAATCTACCTTATGTATCTCATGTACCTTATGTACCTCATCTACCTTATGTATCTCATATACCTTATGTACCTCATCTACCTTGTGTACCTCATAAACCTTATGTAGCTTATCTACTTTATGTATCTCATCTACCTTATGTACCTCATCTACTTTATGTACCTCATCTACCTTATGTACCTTATCTACCTTGTGTACCACATCTACCTTATGTACCTCATCTACCTTGTGTACCTCATCTACCTTGTGTACCTCATCTACCTTATGTAGCTTATCTATCTTGTGTACCTCATCTATCTTATGTACCTTATCTACCTTGTGTGCCTTATCTATCTTATGTACCTCATCTACCTTATGTATCTCATTTACCTAATGTACCTCATCTACCTTATGTACCTCATCTACCTTGTGTACCTCATCTACCTTATGTACCTCATCTACCTTATGTACCTCATCTACCTTATATACAGATTGTACCATATTTATGTAACTCATGTATTTTATGTCTTTCATGTCTCTCATACTTTATGTACCTCATGTTCCTCGTGTACTTAATGTCCAATATGTCTAACCATAAAATCTCATAATAAACAAAATTAAAACTGAACAATATAAATGCATACAATGTAAACTGGTAAATAGTTAACTACTGGCCTCTGATTACAAATTGGTAAATGATTAACTCCCCCCTTCATCAAGTATATATTTATCCTATAGTCCACAAAAAATTACCACGGACAGATAACACATTAACTAAGAAAGATAATCCAGGAAAAACCAGTTCTAATATTTCTGGGAGGAATATAAACAAACAATCAGAGCTGCTCTGGCTCGTAGTACACTGTTTACAACGGACTAAATTTGTTTATTTTTCTTCCTTCGACTGCAGTACATTTTTTGTTTACAGAAACCTTTGAAGATTCCTCATGTAATATTTCTTGAACTAAATAAAGTAACTTAAAGAAAAACATTCAACATTAACAAAACACAATATCTAAAAAAGAAAAATAATTAGAAGTTTGGAGAATAAATAAAAAAGTTGGGAGAATGAATAAGTGGTTTGAAGAATGAATAAGTGGTTCGGGGAAAGAATAAGAAGTTCAGAGAATAAACAAGAAATTAATGAAATGAATAAGACGTTGGGAGAATGAATAAGAAGATAGGAAAATGAAGAAAAGTTCGGGAAATTAAGGTGAAAAGGAGACATGAGCAAACAAGGGAAAGAATTGAAAAAAGATATAATTTTTGTTAAGAACAATTCGAAATTCGAAATTTTGTCTTTAAAAACTGTTCCGCCTGCGCTTTCATACCAAATTCACAATCTAACACTACCAAAAAATGTACGTCCCTCCCCCCCCCCTCTAATTTCTTTGTTGCAGCTAAGCTCTAGTTGTAAAAGACAAATAGTTGTAAAAAGTATAGATTAGAAAAAAAAAGAATAAATGTGAAAAAAGAACTAAAGTTGTGTAAAAAGAAATCTGATTCTAGAACTGTCTCCTTCTGTTATCTGGTGAGAAAACATATTCTCAGTTTATAGTTACAACTTGGCTCCAACTAGTCTAACTTACACTATTTACACCTAGATATTTCTAATTCTACAGACAACTTGGAGAACATTCAAAACTCTTTTACTTTGCTCACAACTTGAAGAACATTCAAAACTCTTTTACTTTGCTGATAACTTGGAGAGCATTTAAACTGCATTCAAACTCTTTTACTTTGCTGACAACTTAGACAAAATTCAAAACTCTTTTACTTTGCGGGTAACTTGGAGAACATACAAAACTCTTTTACTTTGCTGACAACTTAGAGAACATTCAAAACTCTTTTACTTTGCGGGCAACTTGGAGAACATTCAAAACTCTTTTACTTTGCTGACAACTTGGAGAACATTCAAAACTCTTTTACTTTGCTGACAACTTAGAGAACATTCAAAACTCTTTTACTTTGCGGGCAACTTGGAGAACATTCAAAACTCTTTTACTTTGCTGACAACTTGGAGAACATTCAAAACTCTTTTACTTTGCTGACAAATTAAAGAACATTCAAACTATTTTACTTTGCTGAAAACTAGAGAGCATTCAAAACTCTTTTACTTTGCTGAAAACTTGGAGAACATTCTAACTCTTTTTCTTTGCTGATAACTTAGAGAACATTCCAAACTATTTTACTTTGCTTAAAACTCTATGTTTTGCAACCAGATGGTCTTGATCTATTGATGAAACGCCCCTGGAGTTTCTGGTCTGATGATGAAATGCCCCTGGATTGGAGACGTTATATCTGTGAGGTTTGCAGTATACTCTACCTTAAAACTCTTAGAACATTCAAGACTCTTTTACTTTGTTGACAACTCTGAGAACTTTTCAGACTCTTTTACTTTGTTGACAACTTAGAGAACATTCAACTCTTTTACTTTGCTGACAACTTAGAGAACATTCAACTCTTTTACTTTGCTCATAATCTTGGAAACTCTTAAAACTTTTTTACTTTGCTAACATTCAATACTATTTTACGCGCGTTGTTCACAACTCTGCAAACGTTAAAACTCTTTTAATTTGCTTAAAACTCTGCAAACATTCAAGACTCTTTTAAGCTGCTTAGAACTCTTAAAATATTTAGGGTTTTCTTCTCCTTCTTTAGCTTAAAACTTCTTTTATTATTTATTGTCTTCTATAATTCTTCGACCTTATAGAGCACTAAGAGAATTTATTGATAGAATACGGCATTAAGAAGTGCGCAAAGTGGTGTTGGTAACCCCTTAGCAACTAAACATCTCTTTCTGTGCTTATGTATCTCTGCTAAACTGAACATTGTGGTTTAGAGATAAAAGAATTGAAGAAAAGTCTGTATATATAGCTGTTGTTGAGAGTAAATGATTCAAGGATACTGGTTGGATCCTACTACAGGTTTTATTGAAATTCCTCACCAGAAATAGTGTAAAAATTCAACCTACAGGAGAACATTTTAACCTTCCTGGACATGAACTCTGCCATCTAAAAGTTAGCGTTCTAGAGAAGGTTTGGGACCTCGGGAGAAGTATACTTGAAGTACGAGAATCTAAATACATTAGAGATTTTGTGACTGAACTCAGAGGAATGAACAGAAAAAAATAGTTTTTATTTAATTGTAAACTGTAATTCAGAATCTTTTAAAAAAACAGTATTGTTAATGTCCAATTCTTTAAAGGTTAAATACCCCTCCCCCCGATTTACAAAATTATCTTTTTCCATCTCATGATCTGAGTTCGTTTCCCTTTTGTCCATTTGACAGTCTAATTTTTTTTAATAATCTTTTTTTGTTTGTTTATTTTTTTGTGGTTTTTAACAATTTTTTATCTATCTTGATGGTTATTATATTGTTAGAACTGAAAAGGGTCAACCCAGACCGAAATGTATTTTCAATAAATGAACTAACGCATCTACTTTTTTAGTCTACAGAGGTTTGGTCCATCATAATCACCGAATTTTAAAAATTCAACTGCAATGGGTAGAGTTCTGTGTGGCATGCGAAAAATGGCGATTAGGAAATTGCGCATTAGACTATTTGATTTAACAGAATTCATAGAAAATCAGAGTTTGTGGCAAGAACTCCATACCTTTGGGAAATTACCCCTTAGAAATTGACACTTGGGATTTAGCATTTACCGTTAGGAAATTATTTTAGACCCTATTTATAGAAATAAAAGAGATTTGTTCTACAAAACTTAAGCCTTGCCATAAATTTACAGTAGTAATCTCTGTTTGTCCGTTTGTTTAGATGTTCGATTATAACTCATGAACCGGTAGACCGATTTGCCTCACATTTTAATTGGGAAACTCATTAGAACACAGCAGGAATGTTCTGAGCCTGTTTAAAAATTCTAGGTTAAGTAGGTTTGACTTTTAGTGGCAAAGCTGGGTCACCAGTTTATTAGATGTGCAGGTACTGCACACGTAGTTTTAAGAGACCCCCTCCATTTTTAGAGAAGGAATGAAATATCCATGATTTTTTAAATGGTTATTTTCTATTGTGGTTTTTCTCTACAAATTGCTTGCGGATTACTTGCCACAGAAACAATTAAAGAAATTGCAAGAGTTAGACAATTTTCAAACGACGATATCTTTATTGTTTATAAAATAAGGTTTAAAGCGTATCGTTGTGAATCAATATATATCCTATTTTTAAAGGGAGTGTTCGCGAAAAATAAGAGCTTTTGATCGCTACTAATCTTACTTTGCAATTTTCTCAATTTGGGTGGATGCTACGTTATTCGATATGAGTCGTTTTAAACAATTTTCCCCTTATAGACGCAACAGATAGAAGTAAGATTAGTAGCGATTACAGCTGTAAAGCTAAATGAAATAATGTCATGTTATCACTATTATATTATTTTTAAGTTTTCACTTTACCATTATTGGAACTTCCTGTATACACTCCGGCAAAGTTATTTAATCAATTTGTTTGAATATTACACAATGCCAGATTATCATCCAACATATTGTAAATCGATCAAGTTCTGCATAAGCTATTTAGTTTGCCCGGCAAGTTAATTTCTATAAAAATTCATGAGAAAGAAACTTTCGAACATCTTGATTACAATCGGTGAAATTAATTTTCGAATTAAATTACTCCGTCCAAATAAAACTTCTTTTCTTGGATTTGAAATTTCTCCTAGATTTAAATAAATTTGCATAAAACCTACAAATTTGACGACAATGCAAAAACAAGTTAGAGACAAGAGAGAGAGTTTGATAGATAGATAGATAGATAGATAGATAGATAGATAGATAGATAGATAGATGGATAGATAGATAGATAGATAGATAGATAGATAGATCAGTTAATTTCTTAATTTTTGTTGTTGATTATTTTCCAATATTTTTGTTCAGAAAAAGTGAATGATGAACAGGAAGCTTTTATTGAACAACAATTATAATAATAATATACATAATTTTATTATAACGATTATAATGCTTATTATAATGATCATAATGATTATTACTAATTTGATACTAATGACAATTATGATGATAATAGTGATGATGATAATTATGATAATTATATTACAATAATGAGAATAAAACATAATATTATAATCTAACTAATTCTGATCATAATAAATCTAAGGATACTATATAGTAATAATAATAATAATAATGATAAAGATATTGATGGTTGTTGTTTAGTATGGTTTGAGGGGAAGATAGGAAACTAGGTTCAAGTTTAGAACAGGTTTCAAGGGAGTAATGAACTTTACATGAGAGTAGGCTTTCTTAAATTCTCTCATGATTCTGAGACAGGCTTTTACAGTAAACTTTCATCTGGTCTACATTCAAGTACTCCACCCACTAGAGAGTATATTCTATACGCCCACCCACTAGAGTATACTGTACACATACATTCAAGTACTCCCACTCCATCCACAAGAGGGTATACTCTATACATTTAAGCACTCCACCCAACTCCCACCCAATAGAGTATACTCTACACGTACATTTAAGCACTCCCACTCCACCCACTAGAAAGTATACTCTATACATTCAAGTACTCCACCCACAAGAGAGAATACATTCGATTTTCATGTAAATATTCTATTTCTAGTTCAATCTGATGTGTATTAAAAGAGTATTTGAAGAAGGGGGCGGCCTAAAAAGATCTCAAGCAATGTCTGTCTAGTAGCCAAGGTGAGAATAAGTTGGTGAAACCATCTACTGTACTTACACTAAACCTAAAGAGTCCTAAAACATTGACATTGAAAATAAGTTAAGTTGAATGTTTGAAATCCACGAAAAGATATAAAAATAAGTCGTGACACCAAGATTTGTAACTTGGTAATATAAGAACTTTCATGAATTTAAAATATAGAACTCAAATTGTATAAGCAACATATCTTTGCAACCTAATGGTGTAAACCTTTTTTATTTCAAACTTAGATCATTTAATCTCACAGATATCATAGTTTTAGGTATCAAAACACTGGGTTGCAAAGATATAGGGGTTTGGGAGTTTCTGGCAAAAACTCAATTCAAGTTTAAGAGTATCAACAGTGATAATTATGCGTGAGTTATCGATTCCATAGTACCCTAATCACACTTTTTGTAGCCTTGGATATGTAGATTTGAAATTTGCAAAGCGATTGTGTATTTAGTTTAGAAGGAGTTATAGACACAAAAAAGGTGTTTGCATCAGAATGATGTTATTTTTGATGAATAAAGTAAATTACTCGTTCAATGGTAAAATTCGGTACTGTATATTATATATAGTAAATTTGTTATTTTTCCCGCTACAATGTATTTCTATAATAAGGAATTTAATAAACACGAAATAGGGAATTCATTAAATACAATTTATAAATACTTTTCCTTGACGCTTTAAAGGGACTGTAAGCGAAATATTAGGGGACCCTCCACGCAAAGATGACAATGCCTGATTTACAACTGTACCCTTCTAACTATTATTTGATCAATAATGTTTGTATTTTAAGGTTTAAAAGTGATTAATTCTTATTATTCATAAATGTTTTCATGCAGTCTCTGCTAATTTTTTTCGAATTGAAAATAATCAGTTTCCAAAATTGTAAACACTTGATTAGACAAATATCTTTGCATGGAGGGTGATTTGAATTTACGCTTACAATTTATTTTATTTTTCTTAAATAAATTTTAATTTTATGGTTTAAGGAGGGGCCATCGCTGATTCCCAACGGGAACCTTCAATAATTAACATAAGTATCATAATTTGGATATATCTTCTACAAAAACGAGGATTTAAATGGCGTGGAATTGTTCCATGAATATAAATTCTTCTCAGCGTTATCGTTTTCCCTTATATCAGTGATGTCTTTAAAATGCAAGTTATTTCTTTGTTTGAAATATATTCTAATGATTCCAAATATTGTGTACTTGGATTGTGTATACGGGTTATGTCATTACTCCAAATACGCTATACGCTTTAATTGCATACTGTATTTATGGTTTTAATCAAAATTTTCATATATGAAACATTTACTTTGAATCAGATTATGAAAAATAATTAGTTTTGATTTAATTTAAACTCTTAATAAGGGCATTTGTTGATTCTGTATTTACAAAATATTCACAAACATGGACTACAATTTAATACATTTTCCCGTACATGATTTAAAAAGATTGAAAATCAATCCTAGTTTCTTTCAATCTTTTTAGACATTAAAATTCATTATTTGTTAATAAACCATCGTATACTCTACATCTAACTCTCTCTGCTTTCTCTCTTTCGGCTTAAACAAAGTTTTAGTTACAGTAAATATATTTTTAGAACGTACAATCTTTCAGGAGTACTCACAGACCATGGTGTACTCACAGACCATGGTGTACTCACAGACCATGGTGTACTCACAGACCATTGTACTTTCAGACCAGCATATACTTTCAGAACAGTGTTCTTCCAAGAAGTTTTAAACATTTATAATTTCAGAGTTTAGCTAATTTCGACTTTATTCAAATTTGTACAAAGGAAATAAAAACTAAATAAGAAATCGATCACAGAGCACGTTCAACGATTTGATACAAGAAGTGTAGAATGAGTTTTTTCAAAATTTGTGTTTTTGTTCAGGTTGAATTTTTCGTTTTGATGAATTTGTTCAGATTGGTTTGACTTTAGAGAAATCTGAACCGAAGTTTGAGGTGCCGTGGGTTTCATAATAAGACTGGAGGAATTTAACATCGTTTAAAGAAAATTTTTAATTCTTCTGTGATGAAATATTTGATTTTTATTTTAGCATTGACCTGTGTGTAGAGGTGTAAAAATTGAAATAAAATGCCCACGTTTGACACCCACCCTTCCATCTTCCTTTAACCTATCCACAGGTTTTCTCCTATAGAGTCCTTTACAACAGAGTTGAATTTGACTCTGAACCCGTTTATGTAAACCTCTGGAATCCCTGGCCGCTCCTTCCAAACTTTATCCCGGAGAAAAGGGAAGGGTTTCTATCACTTTCTGAATCTTGAAGTGGGCTAGGGTTTCGTGTTTCCATTTCTCCCTGCCAGGAACCAGAGCTACTTATCTCTACACCTGAATCCTGTCCAACCTGAAACAAAAACAAAATAAAATATTAATCCTTTAGATTGAAATAACTCAAAAAAAGAGTTATTTTCAGTGACCTTCGACTTTAAAATTGCCATCAACGATTGCCAATGATATTTATGATTAAAATAGATTTTTCCGAATTTATACAAAAAATGCAAATTAGAAACTGGAATGTTTAAAAGGTTTTCAAATATGATTCAAACATGTCCTTTGATATTTAAAATTAAGTTGTTTTCCTCTAAGAATGCAGGTTTTATTACCTCCGGAGATGATAATTGTGCTTCTCTGGTGTTGTAGAAAGGATTCTCAAAGGATACTGTTGGACTGTTGGGATTCTTGGGTGGAAGGAGGAAATTCTTCTTCTTTAGAACAAGAAGAACAAGACCAAGAATAGCGCAGACAATTACAACAGCGATTATGATTCCAACGACTTCGGTTGCACCAGAACTACGTCGCATTGAAGTTTCAATAATGACCTCGTCTGCAGTCGCAAACCTCAATGGTTCGGTAAGATGAGAAGTTCCGTTGGAGTTTCCTGCTTTCACGACCAGCTCATAAGTAGTTCCTCCAACTAGGTTATTTAGGCTTAGTTTAGTTTCCACCGTATCATTCTTCATAGTTTCCTTAGATCCTAGAGGTCTCCAGAACACACGGTACAGCTCAACTGTCTCAGGGTTCTTAGTTGGAGGTTCCCAGAACACCATTGCAGAACTCTTACTGGTCAGGCGAACAACGATATTTCGTGGTGGACTAGGCAGGTTCTTGCTCCCCTCATGGAAACATCCAATAATCTCTCTGGATTGGGAGAGAGCACAGATCTCAGTTTTCTCAACGGGTTGTCCCCGACACCAGTTTATACAGTCATTTGGAACTCCTTTAGAGTGACAACAGTGTCTGTGATCGGAGCCATCGGAGGCACATTTCATCAGTTTATGGAACTCTGGTAGGCAGTAGGGCTTACGGAGCATTGTATCGAAGTCAATGGAAAACGAGCAAATATCAAGACAGTCACTTGAAACATTTTGTTGTTTACAGCAAGCTGTTCTATCGTATACGGCAGGAGGAAGTCCTGATACGTTAACTCCAACAAAAGCAACATCCTCTCCTAATGTATTGTTCGCGTGACAGTAATATTTTCCTCCGTCCTCCGGAGTTGCATCCTTTATCCTCAACTCTAGTATAAACCCTGCAGGGTCATCAAAGGTTCCAGTAGCAGATAAACTGATCCTATCTCCGCTATGAATAGATTGTTTTAACTCCTTGTCTCTAAACACAGCAATGGTTGGAGCTGGGAACGCGTCAACTTTGCATTTGATTACAAGATCATCTCCAGTAATAGCATTAGTCTCAGCTGGAGCCTTCACGGTCGGAGGTCCTGAACAAAATAAACATATCAAGACTGCATTTAAAAACTGTTGAATAAAAGGATTTATGAATAAAATACTTACTGCTTATTGTTATCTTTCTTGAGGCCTGCATTGGAGTTCCATATCCATTATCGGCATAACAGGAGACATCTCCCATATCCCGAGTCACGTTGTGAACAACGGTCACCATATGACGGCTAACATCACTACGGACAGGGTGGCCGTTGATATAGAGAGTTACCGTGGGTAGGGGTGTGCCCATAGCAATGCATAGAACGGTCATAGAACTGCCTTCAGTTACCATGTTGATGGGATGGATGGTTGGAGCCTGAAACAGAAATAATCAATAATCTAATTAATTAAATACGCATAAATTCCGTCATATTAAAGGGAGTGCTCACGGGATTTAAAGTTAACCTGCTAATCCCAATAAAGTTTTACAACACATATCTATTTTCAACTCAGCCATTTTCTCGCTAGAAAAGCTATGGCGCGAAACTATCAATTTAAAGATGGAACGCTTGTCGATCTGCAGAAAACAATCATTTTGAAGATAGGAAAGCTCAAGTCTATCTGCAGAAAATTATCAATTGAAAGATAGACAAGTTTGTCGATCTGCAGAAAACTATTAATTTAATGATAGAAAAGCTTGTCGATCTGCAGAAAACTATCAATTTTATGATAGGAAAGCTTGTCGATCTGCAGAAAACTATTGATTTAAAGATAGAAAAGCTTGTCGATCTGCAGAAAACTATCAATTTTAAGGTATGAAAAGCTTGTCAATCTTCAGAAAACTATCAATTATACGATGGAAAAGCTTGTCGATCTGCAGAAAAAAAGTAGATTTAATAAATACAATTAGCGAAATAAATATTTAGATTTTCGTCTTCTCATACTTAAAGGACTTGTTTTTAAAACTTGTATTCAGCGAATCCAAGTACAAAGTACTTACGAAATTCGAAAATTTGTTCGATTCGGACGATTTAATTATCCGCACCTCGACAAAGGCTGGGAACGCAGGATCTGTCCAGGCCACCAGGGTCTCACTTGGTTCACTCTCCTGGGTGCTCCGGGTCAAGGTGTAGTCGGAGTCGTTGTTGTAGATGATCGCGGTGGTGTAGAGGATATATTGAGTGTTAGGAGTTAGGTTTTGAACCTTGACCGTTGTTACATCACTCTCTACGCTTACAAACTCGGTTGAGTTCCCACTCGTTTGACGGAAGAAAAGCCTAAAACAAGGTTTTGTTGAACAAACTTGGTGAAATTATTCATAAAACTTGATCCAAACTACTGAGCTACCGAGTTTTAAAAGGCAAGATGGTGCTCTTGAAGTTAGAATGAAAACAAACCATCTGGTAGAAATTTAACTTCTCATCATGATTCTAAACTTATGCGATCAAATAATAATAATAATAACAACAATAACAATAACAATTTAGACTCAAGTTATGACTAAATAGTCCAATGAACTAGAGACAGAACAATTGTGCAGTGTAAACAGACTCATTTCCTTTTATAAGTGATTTAATAACTTACTAGTATAGCTATTTACATTGTAACAGCATCAAATGCACTTTAATGTCGTCTTCCTATTCTACAGTTTTCTGATTATCACTGTAGTTTACTTAAAACCATCTATATTCAAGGGGGATGCTCAATTTTTTAAAGGGGGTATGGTTATCAAAAAAAAATTTAATAATAATTATAGTAGCAATAATAATAATAATAATAATAATAATAATAATAATAATAATAATAATAATAATAATAATAATAATAATATTTACTTGTATTTAAGAACATCCTCTGGATGTGTGATAGCAGGCGGGTTCCATGTGAACTGGAGCCAGGTGGCGGAATGCGCCTCAACCTCCAGCAAGTGTGGCGGCGAGCTTGTTCCTCTGGCGGACTTTCCGTCCCAGGCATCCTTGGATACGTTTAATCTGACCAGGGATGAAGGTAAGGAGGTTCCATCATCGTTCCTGGCCACAACGAAGAATCTGTAGAATTTTCCAGTCTCCAGGTTCTCAATGGTTGCACGAGGAAGTGTAGAGTTTATCATCTTAATAGAAAACCATTTAATTTTATTAAGAAATATTCAAGTACAATATTCAACCCAGTTTCATCAAAGGGCTGGAATGAATTTTAAAACTCAAATACTTCAAAGTATGAATATCTTTTACGCCCAAAGGTAAGGAAGAGAATAGGAGAAAAGGTTAGGAAGAGAATAGGAGAGAATGTTTAGGAAGAGAATAGGAGACAAGGTTAGGAAGAGATTATCAAAGGGCTGGAATGAATTTTAAAACTCAAATACTTCAAAGTATGAATATCTTTTACGCCCCCCCCCCCTCTTTACGTTTCGTAACTTCCCCGTTTTCCCATTTAATCAATAGAATTGAAATGATGTAAGTTGAAGAAAACAATCGAATAAATATTTAATAATACTCACATTGTCGCTAGAGAAAACAGTTCCTCCGGTTGAATTATCGTCAAGTTTCTTGTAATAAATCTCGAAATGTGTTGTGTTGAAGGTTGAATCTGTATCATCCGACCTCCAGGAGAGGACGACCTTTCCGTCGGAGACTTCAACGGCTCTGAGCCCGCGGACAGGAGGAGGAAGGTTTATAGTTCCCTCCTCGAGGCAGGTAAACACCTGACCAAGGAACGGGAGACATTTTGTGAACTCAGCTCCGGTTGATTTCTGATGAACTGCCTGGCAGAGAGGCTGACAACTCTGAGGAACTCCTCGTCTCTCACAACAAGGAAGATGATCTCGTCCTCCTACTAAACATCTCATAACCTTACTCATATCCTCTCCACACAACCCTCCTAGCTCCTCAATATCAGACATCTTAGCGTTGTAGGAACACAAGGGCTGGCCTGAAAATGTTTAGAGTAAATTCTCTTTGATTTAATTCAAAGGGTTGAAGAAACATTGAATAGAGTTGGATTAGAAATTAATGAGCGTAAGAAGTAATAGGATTATGGGAGGGATTGAAGAAACAATTCAACTTACATTCAGACTTTACTCCGGCGTTAATACAGCACTGGGACTCGTTGTACGGATGAGAAACTTCCTAAAATAAAAACAGAATTAAACTTTTTCTTTCGGAATATTTATTTCAAAATATAAAACTGAGAACATACCTTGAGATCTTCAACTTTTCTGCTCGCAGTTCGGAAAACAATCCTTGAAGATTCTTCTCCTGCTCCGTGTTCATTTACAGCAGACACGTACACTTCATAGGTAGTGGAGCTGAAATAGTAGAAATTGGAATTCAGTTAACTGAGAGGGGGGGGGTAGCGCATTGGTTTCGAACTTAGATGTAATTTTTAGGTTGGATTGAATATGATTATTAACCTGCTAAGATTTTCCAAAATAAAAGGACTCTGTGCATGCTTCAAGTTTATTTTTTCTCCCTGAGTCTCATCCATCATCTGTAACAGTAGTCTTCATTAGGGGAGTAAAGAAATAGAAGATTTGGAAGAGAATACAAGAAAAGGTTGTTTGGAGAATAGGACACAAGGATTTTGGAGAGAAGGTTGGATAGAGAACAGGAGAGAAGGTTGGATAGAGAACCGGATAGAAGGTTGGATAGAGAACAGGAGAGAAGGTTGAATAGAGAACAGGAGAGAAGGTTGAATAGAGAACAGGAGAGAAGGTTGGATAGAGAACAGGAGAGAAGGTTGGATAGAGAACAGGAGAGAAGGTTGTATAGAGAGTATGAGAGAAGGTTAGATAGAGAACCGGATAGAAGGTTGGATAGAGACCAGGAGAGAGGTTGAATAGAGAATATGAGAGAAGGTTGACTAGAGAACAGGAAAGAAGGTTGAATAGAGAACCGGACTGAAGGTTGGATAGAGAATAGGAGAGAAGGTTTTAAATTAAAGAGCATAGGAGAGAAGGTTTAAGAAAAGAATATGTGACACTGCTTAGTAAGAGAATAGAAGAGAAGGTTAGGAAGAGAATAAGAGAGAATGTTTAGGAAGAAAATAGGAGACACTGTTTAGGAAGAGAATATGAGAAAAGGTTCGGAAGAGATTACGAGACACTGTTTAGAAAGAGAATAGGAGAAAAGGTAAGGAAGAGAATAGGAGAAAAGGTTAGGAAGAGAATAGGAGAGAATGTTTAGGAAGAGAATAGGAGACAAGGTTTAGGAAGAGAATATGAGAAAAGGTTCGGAAGAGATTACGAGACACTGTTAAGGTAAGGAAGAGAATAGGAGAAAAGGTTAGGAAGAGAATAGGAGAGAATGTTTAGGAAGAGAATAGGAGACAAGGTTAGGAAGAGAATAGGAGACAAGGTTAGGAAAAGAATAGGAGACAAGGTTAGGATAAAATGATTGGAAATAGAATAGAAAATACTGTTTGGAGAAGAGATGAAAAGATTTGATCAGAAACAGTCCTTTAAGTTACTAACCTGATAAGATACAATGTAGTCCTGCACGGTTTCTCCAAGTGTTGCTGGGGGTTCCCAGTGCAGAATACCGAAACTTGTATCAAGGTTGGAGAACCTAAAGTTTACAGGACTGGAAGGAAGAACACCATAACCCTCGAGAAGACAACTGGATAGGTCGTGCATGTAAGATATACACCGGAAGTACTTGAAATTTATGTCAGTCACATTTCCGGAGCAGAGTTCCTAAAATACACGAGTGTTCAATGTTTAATGATAAGGGTTATGTATAAGCTGAGTTTGTGTGTAAGGATTCAGAAGAAAACTATTTCTTTATGGGCGATTAACTAGAGATTTCCCAGCAAATGGCGTGAAAATAAAAGGTTTGGGAAAACTGAAGAAAACAAAAATATTTTTTCTTTGTCATGCAATCTTTCAATCTTTCAATAGAACATAGAGTTATAAAATTATACAGAACTTCTCTGGGTATTTACCTGGCACAGGGGTGGGAGCTGCCTTGCGGAGCAGCATGGAGTATGATCCCTACCATCAGCTAAACAGCTGAATATCTCTGTATCCCAGGGAGCACAGATCATCATATCTGTCACTGTCACTTCAGTCATACTGTGAGGATCACAAAACATATCAACGCAACTAATCAATAAAAAATTCATTAAACAAAAACAAAAACAAATCAATTTTCAAATATACATAAACTGGACATTTCCCTTGCTGGTAGAGAGTTCCGACTGCTAGAAAACTTACCTTTCATGAGAAACGTTCTTGTTCCGACAACATTGTTTTACATCCGGGATTTGAGGAGAAAATGTTGGAGAATCTGCCGCCTTATCACCTTCAATATGAGTCACAACCTTGGTTTTATATGTTGGTAAACTTTTCCCCTGGTTTACTCCCTCGGTCCACATATACACCTCGTACAAGGAGAAGGTTTCCAGCTCTGTCAGGACGAAAGAAGTTGTGTTCGGAGATAGACGATGTATTTTGGAGAAGGGTGGATAGAACTTTCTTGCCATTCTGCTGTCCACGTTCACAGAGAAGATTGGACTAAGAAACCTGAAACAGAATTCTAACTGTAAACTTTACAAATATTTTGTTCCAATATTGTTTTAAAGTTTTTAGTTAAAAATATTGAAGGATGAAAGAAATGCTTTCCTTGCTCAATTTATAATTTCTTTCTCCGCTAGCTGGCTTAGAAGAAAGTGTAATACATCAACACGGAGACAATCTTAATTCTCAAGAAAGAAGAAAATAAAACAAATTTAACAAGATTGAGAATACTTACTGTATATAAGTAACGTTAAGAACGAATTGTTTTGTAAGTTGGGGATCTGTACTGGGCAGAGACCAGGATACTCGGATACTCGTCTCGTTTTCAGCAGATACACTCAGATCCTGGGGCGGACCAGGCAGCAGATCTAATAATAGAATTTTGAATAAAATTTCATGAAAGATTAACCGGACACTATCCCCCCACCCCACCTCACTACTTCCTTGAATCTACAGATTACAATAATTTCCTTTCAGGAATGAACTGTTTAAGCCAAGATTCCCCCTGGGATTATAAGTTGGTTGGGAGTGTATATAATACAAGCCAACCCCCCCCCCCCCGCTTCATTGCACCAATGTTTTAGTTAATGATCTTTACATGACAGTCTGACCCTTTGCTTAATCAATATGAATCCTCATCATCTTTCAAGTTTTTTGACGTGCTGCAAAGCATTTCATTTTTTTCGCAAAAGCTTAACATTTGCCACAAACTAAAATTTTTGAATTCATATATCTTTGCAACCTGATGGTGTAAACTTTTGATGTACCAAACCATTTTCTAAATCGGGATGCAAAAATATAATAATCATAAAATTAGAGTTTGCGACAATTATTCATTTCCTTTCTGTTATTTTAGAAAACATTTATATTCTTACCTATACCCGCTGCAATACAGGCCAGTGTAGGAGCTGTATAAGCTGCACAGGAGAAATGTGTCTTGATATTATCGGTCTGCACCGTGTACTCTCCCCTGCATAGATCTGTACATACATCTGGTATACCTGCCTCAGTACAGCAAGGCATATGATCTCTTCCGTCCGCCATACAGGAGGCAATTCCAGGAAAATCTGTCTCACATTCAACAGGATCGGAGCCAGTATCTCCGTCAAGGATGGATTTTAGATTACAGAAGCCAAGACAGGTAGTGCTCACGTTCTTACTCAGACAGCAATCCGTATAATCATGTTGAATGGGACGTGGAGTACTGTATCCCCAGACAGACAAGGAGTCTGGAGAACTAGAAATAGGTTCGGAGCTGTTAGTTTCAGGTTTGGATGGAGCAGTGAGAGTTGACTCTGGTGGTTGAAGACTACTGGAAAGGAAGGAGAGTTCATGAAAGGATCGGATAGGTGGATCACTGTTTACCTCACAGATATACAAGCCTGCATCCTTCATGGTTGTATTCTGAATGAGAAGAACGTAAACATCTCCTCCTTCCTCATGCAGCACGTCAAACCTCTGATCACTGGTTACTCTGTCTCCGTTAGCAGTCAGGATCTTTGGTCCGGCCTTGTCCTTCTCTGTCTTCTTCCACATAATGGTAAAGTTGTTCAATGATCTGACCACACAAGTCAACAGAGCATCAGCTCCTTCCATCCGAACTACCGGACCTGTCAAACTATGCTCCAAACTCGGAACTAAAATAAATCAACTTTTACAGATTTGAAACTTTTCTCAAGTAAAAAGTGGAAAAGATTCAGAACCATCCGAACAAGTTATTAAACTGTGAATTGACTCAGTTAGAAAGTTTATATTTGAAATATTCTTAAAATTGTTTCGTGTCCTGGTTCAGAATTCAAATCAATACGAAACCTTTCATTTAATGAAATGTAATGCTCAGTATTCTATATTATCCTAGATCTGTAAACCCCTAGAGGAATTGAATCTGGGATTAAGTTTACCTAATTTCTTCTGTTTTGTTTGTATTGTTAGAGTCAGGAAAACCAGGCCTCGGAGAAGGTGAGAACAACTCCGTAATCTCATTTCTAAACTCGGATTCTGAAATTTTAAACTCTAAGATGCATTCATAAAATTAACAAAATGAATATCATTTATGAAATGATCATAAAAGTTTTTATGAGATAAAGTTAATCATCATTGAAAACATTGTTTCTTGGCATTGTTACATAACAGAATTGTTATAAAACTTAAATATTTGATGCTTATTCTTGGATTTAATAAATATATAATGATTTGAGGAAACCGACCTGGCACGCTAAAATATTAAGGTCTTCTCTATTCTACTGTTGAGATGTGAGTGTCTACAGGTATTATGTAACCTGTATCAACACACGTGACCGCTAGCGGTTACACCTCTTCACTCTCAGCCCCCTAATCAGGGTGCCCTGAACAAATTTTAAAAATGTTTTAAAAGCTTAGATTCATACTTTTTATTTTTTGCGTATTAGTGAAAAAAGATTTTTAGATTTGAAGGGGAATTTTGTTAAGGGGGTGGATGAGTAGGTAGGCGGGGCCTTCGGGTGCATAATAAGGAACAGGTTAAGAATTGACGTTAAAAGTATAAAGAGACTTGTTCATGATATTAACCATTAACTTTTAAAAATGCATCAAACGAAAACAATGAATAATTAAACTTATTTTTAATAATGTATAACAGACCTAATAACATGCAGTCAAAAACTTCATATGTAAGATGATTTTTTTGAACAAAAATGTCAAAGTATTGGTTGAGCGGAGAAAATGGGAGTTTTATATTTAGGTAAAACTCTATATTCCAACCACGTTTACTAATTCAGCTCCTGGAGTAGAACCATTCTACTCAGATGGTTGAACCTGCTTACTCTAGGTTAATGATACATAATTCTTACTCCTATAGTTCATGTTAAATACAAGCTTATAAAATCCTTACTCCAGGATCATGTCTAAAACAAACTTATACAATCTTTACTCCGAGTTCATGTTTAAAACAAGCTAACACAATCCTTACTCTAGGTTCTTGTTTAATACAAGCTTATAAAACTCTTACTCCAGGTTCTTGTTTAATACAAGCTTATACAATCCTTACTCCAGGTTCATGTTTAATACAAGCTTATACAATCCCTACTCCAGGTTCATGTTTAATAGAAGCTAACACAATCCTTACTCCATGCTCATGTTTAATACAAGCTTATACAATCCTTACTCCAGGTTCATGTTTAATACAAGCTAACACAATCCTTACTCCAGGTTCATGTCTAATACAAGCTTATACAATCCTTACTCCAGGTACATGTTTAATACAAGCTTATACAATCCTTACTCCGAGTTCATTTTTAATACAAGCTAACACAATCCTTACTCCAGGTTCATGGTAAATATAGACTTATGCAATCCTTACTCCAGTTTCATGTCTAAAACAAGATANGTAGAAATAGTGATATATGAACATAGCTCTTCACTATCAGGCACAAACATTGCAATAGATGGATAGGTTGTATATAAAACCACAGAAGAATACGCACAAGAAGTACATTAAATATTTATACCCTGAAATATAAATATAAAAAAGTTCGGGATTCATAACTTGAAATCGAATAAGTTTCAGAATCTTTGTCTCTGGTTTGAATTTTCCAATGTAGGACGAATAATATTTCATTTGCTCCGGGTATGTTTTGTTGGTAGCTGGTGGAAATGTATTAAATAGGGGAAGGAAGGATCAATCACTAAATCCAGGGAAGGATTTCCACTGGGCTTCCCATTTCCAAATTAAACTTTTCTTTCACAGAGAGATAAAAGGATAATGTTTGATATGATTATACCTTTCTTTAACTTAGGCTAAAATTAGAAAATCAAAATCTTATATATATATATACTTTGCTTCCTTGTTTGTTTGTTTGTATCCAATAATCGTTGAAACGGTTAAAACCGATCGGTCCAATTTTTTTTGTGGCAACTTACACGACCCAAAGGAAGATGGATTGTTAAAGACAAAGTCTTAACTCCCTTTAACAGAAAAATCCGCGAAATTTATATTTTAAATCCTAGAAAATGAACGAACCCGTCAAAGAATTTTCCGCCCTGTAGAATACTTGGTGATATTCCAGGAAAATATGACAAATTCAGTTTAACCATACACACTCTCTGCCACCCTGTACAGTATACAATTTGCAAGAACACTTAAAACATAACATCAGACTTAAAAATTCAAATGTTATATTTTGTTGAAAGTAAAGTTCTGTTATTGGTTTTACAGGAAGCTTTCTCCATTATTAATTTATACCTGAAAGGGAGTGTTCACGAAAAATTGAAGGGGGTATAGGCATACGGCGAAAAATAAGCGCTTTTGATCGCTACTAATCTCACTTCTATCTGTTGCGTCTGTCAGGAGAAAATTGTTAAAAACGACTCACACCGAAGAACGTAGCGTCCATACAAATTCGGAAAGTTGCAACATTCAACTCGGATCGTAAAATAATCAATTTAATTCCAAACAAATCATTCAGATATTACAAACAGTTGTCATCGATTATTTTTCGACTCATATATAGTTAATATTTTATAATATTTTGATTTAGTTTTTTTAAATAATATTTCACTGGCGGTGGATTTTTGAACATTCCTGGAAAATATGAAAATGTCGTCTTCATTATAAAAAATTCTCGAAACAGGAATAAATGTTTTCAAAAGTAACTATCAGATCATAAAAAAATAAAAAATGCATCGAAAAATTATCGATGATTGTTGGTTGTAATATTTGAATGATTTTTTTGGAATTAAATTGATTTTTTTACGATCCGAGTTGAACTTTCTGAATTTGTATAGACGCTACGTTCTTCAGCATGAGTCGTTTTTAACAATTTTCTCCTTATAGAAACAGCAGATAGAAGTAAGATTAGTAGCGATTAAAAGCGCTTATTTTTTGACGTAAGTCTGTACCCCCTTTCAATTCTTGCGAACACTCCCTTTAACAAAAGTGTTTGCATGTAAGCTGTTACGTTGTCATAAGAATATATAAACAGAAAATAAAGACGACCTCTCCCTAGTTTAAAATTGTTTTGAACAAAATCAGGTTAAATTTGTAAAGTTGTAAACAACCCGTTGCAAGAACCATAGAAACACCGTTTTCTGCAGTGAAGTATAAATTTGTAAAACTTTTAAAAAATAAGATATTTGTTCGAACTGACCAGGTTTAAATCTTTCTACAGAAAATTTGTATTATTCCTACTCTTACTTAGTTAAATAGAATCCGTTGAGAAGAACTGGTTTTCTCCGGTGTACGGAGGATACAGATAAATGTGTGAACCCGACTGAAAGATAACTGAGAGGTTCTCTCTGTATCCTCAACCTGGTCCTGGAGGTTTCAATCCGCGGACTACATTTTCACGATTCCACCCGAAACTATCTAGTTCGTATATTTTACTTTCTACTGCTCTGTTGTACTGTACAGTGTACAGTGTACAGTGCACATAATAGTGAAACTATATAAAAATAGCTTAAAGGAACTGTAGTTGCGATTTCAAGTGACCTTTGTATTTAAAAAGAGTGGATGCTCGATTCACACCGGTGCTCTTCAAACCTTAATCAGTTCAACTGTTTGGAAGAAAGCGTCGTTTTTCTCGCTTGAAAAGTGTCTAATTCTCATACTTCACTCCATTGGTTCTTATGCAAATATATGCACAGGTCACTTTTCAGAGAAAACACATTTTTAAAAAAAGAAGATAAATATTCTTGATCAGGCAAAGATTTTAAGAATACTGTTGTGAATCAGACGTGCTACTCGAGAAATGGAGGTTCGTGCTACTCTAGAAATGGAGGTTCGCGCCACTTTAGAAATGGAGGTTCGCGCCACTCTAGAAATGGAGGTTTGCGCCACTCTAGAAATGGAGGTTCACACCACTCTAGAAATAGGGGGTTCGCGCCACTCTAGAAATGGGGGTTCGCGCCACTCTAGAAATGGAGGTTAGCGCTACTTTGTCATGAGTCATAGGAAAATAGTTTTAAACATTTTGGATCGTTTAATTTCTATATAAAAACTATAAATATAAACTGATATACTTTTATCAGTTTTTTTACGCTTTTAGCTTTGGTTTATCGCTAAACACTGGTCTTTTGTTTCCTTTGTATCCGGAGGTTGCACCCACAAACTTTTATCATAACTTTTCTCACAGATAAAACTTAAAAACACTTCTGGGATATAAAATAATAAAAATTGAATAGATACTATACACTAACTTATAGCTAGATTAGCAAGGACAATAGAAGTAACCAGCAGTTTTAAATGTTGGAGAATACAATCTTTTCAGTTTAGGAAATCACATTTTCTTTGCACGTAAAGTGAATCTCCATCCATATCTATATATATGTAAAGTAGAAAATCTTTCGTTTTCTGTTTGCATGTCCCATCATAACTCATGAACCCCATTACCTTTTTCTTCTTCAAAACTCTTCATTAGCTAAATACGAGATGAAAACGCATTATTTTCATTAATGATTTAAAACATCCACAACAGTGTGAAACAGCTTTTTGCACCAATATACTTCTATGCAAAATTTTTATAACCACAGCATTGTGGTAGGCTTTTCGCTAAAAATATAAATTTTTTAAAATTTCTACAACAGTAGAAAATAGCTTTTCGCTTAGCAAAAAACACCTATTTGCCTAAAATTTTGATTAAGGAACTCGGGAGAACCTCAGAAATGTAGTTAGCTTGGTTTTACAATTCTAAGCTTTGAGTGGGTCGACTACTACAAAAAAAAAACCAGGCAATGCTGGATTCCCAATATAGTTCTAATATATTATAAAGCACCGTGAAATATCTATATTTGATGAAAATATAAAAATTGTGTATATCTACAAATATGTAAGCTTGTATAAACAGTAATTTTATATTATTTATGATGTTCATGGAATAATCATTTTTTCCTTTGTAAACTAAATTATATTATCAAGTGTTTTATTTATTCTTATATTCCAGTCTTTTTTGGAATCTAGTAAAGGTTAAGGATTTTATTTCTGTCTTTTAGATCTATCTACAGGTTTATCTAGGAGTATAAGTATTCCTACCTCTAAGTATATCTTAAAGTATCTAGAAATACAGGGTGAGTTAAAAAAATTATACCAATTTTGTGCAACTCTCCTGCATGGTGTTTTTTCAATTTATTTACACATTTTTGTTTTTCTAAACTTTTGATTTTGAAAGAAAAAAAGGTTCGCGGAATTTTTTTGGGCCCTTGAAGTACCAAAAAAAAATTACAAATTTTCAAAAAATATTGAAAAAACACTATACAGGAGAGTTGCAAAAAAGGTACAATTTTGCACCAGGCGCCGCAAATCACACTTTTTTGACTCACCCTGTATAACTATTCACTTTATTTAAGGTATCTGTATAAGTATATATAAAAATATAAGTTTGTTTACCCTAAAGTCTCCAGGTTCTGAAGATAGCTGAGCTGAGTTAAAGATTCTTCTGTTGCAGTGAGTACAAATGCAGCAGGAACTAGGCACACCTGAAACAAGCTTTCTTTATCTTGAATAAGTTTATCCGTCTAAACTTGATAACAACTTGTCTTTCCTTTCTTTAGAAACCTATCCTGTACTCTTCATTACAGAGATTTCTCAAACTATATTTTATACAGTGCTAGGTCAAACCATTTTAGGGCAAACCCAGTCCCCACTCTTATTTGGGATGGACGCTAATTACTTATTTTTTTCTCTGAGAAATCTATTCCATTTTTCCTCATGTTGAAACTATTTCCTTCATTATCCTACCAAACTTAAACTTGCTGAACTTCTTCTTATCATTTTAAACTTATCTTAATCCTCGACAGCTAAACTTGTCTTATTCTCACAAAGAACCTATCTTAAACTTGCTGAACTTCTTCTTATCATTTTAAACTTATCTTAATCCTCGACAGCTAAACTTGTCTTATTCTCCCAAAGAACCTATCTTAAACTCTCAAAGCAAAATTTGTCTTATTCTCTAAAATCTGAACTTTTTCCAAATCTAAATTTGTCTTATTTTTCCAACGCTAAACCGGACTTATTTCTTTCAAAACAGACCTTTTTTATTTCTATACATATTTTGTTGTAGTTCACTTTTAGATTGAATTAAATCTTACTGAAGTCTTGAAAACAATTAATTTTAAGAAACTGTCAGACAAATTACTTGTGGTTGAGAGCATCTAGAGTAAAATAATCTGGTATTCAGGTTTCTTAACTCATATTTCATCAAACATTAGAAAAAGTTAAAGAAGGGAGAATTTAATATTTTCCATAAAGTAGGGTTTCCTTGTTTTCATTAACATCCAGTATGTAGATTGTAAACATAAAATAATGGTAGTCAGGATTTAATAAACTAATGAAAACAAAGGAAAACTAGAAATAAAACTCAATGGAAAACAAAAACTTCCACTCAATTGAAAACTAGACTTAAACTCAATGAAAAACAAGGACTTGATCTTATTGGAAAACTAGAACTTGAACTCAATGGAAAACTAAAACTCAATTGAAAACTAGAACTTAAACTCAATGGAAAACTAAAAATTAAACTCATTGGAAAACAAGGACTTGATCTTAACGAAAAACTAGAACTTTAACTCAATGGAAAACTAGAACTTGATCTCAATGGAAAACTTTATCTCGATTAAAAACTTGATCTGAATGGAAAACTAGAACTTTAACTCAATGGAAAACTAGAACTTCATCTCAATGGAAAACTAGAACTTGAGCTAAATGGTAAACAAGAACTTGATCTCAATGGAAAACTTTATCTCAATTAAAAACTTTATCTCAATGGAAAACTAGAACTTTAACTCAATAGAAAACTAGAACTTGATCTCAATGGAAAAATTGATCTTAATGGAAAACTTGATCTCAATGAAAAACTTTATCTCAATGGAAAACTAAAACTTTAACTCAATGGAAAACTAAAACTTGAACTCAATGGAAAATTAGAACTTGAACTCAATAGAAAACTAGAATTTGATCTTAATGAAAAAACTTGAACTTGAACTCAATGGAAAACTTTAACTTGAACTCAATGGAAAACTAGAACTTAAACTCAATGGAAAAATTTAACTTGAACTCGTGAGAAAAACTAGAACTTGAACTCAATGAAAAACTTGAACTTGAACTCAATGGAAAACTAAAACTTGAACTCAATGGAAAAATTGAAAACTTGAACTCAATGAAAACTTGAACTTGAACTCAATGGAAAAATTGAACTTGAACTCAATGAAAACTTGAACTTGAACTGCATAGTTGAATGTATCTTAAAATACATCGTCTTCAATTTGTGTTTTTATACTTCTCTTAGATATGAATAATGGTTTATTTTAAAACTTTAAAGTATTACAGTTCAACAGCATAAACAAAGTTTTCGCTTGAATTGATAATAAAACACGTGTTTTGTATGTTTTCCTGTATATTGTTGAGGTTTGTGATATTGATGAGAAGAACTTGGATTCTATTATTTGATAAACAATAACAATATTTTCTTGTAGAGAAAACTAGACGAAAATACACTAGAGAAATATAATTTAGTGAGAAAAAAATTTAAAACTGTCAAAAGTATTTCCACCGGACGAATAATCCTATGAAACTCTTAAATACGTCTTAAAAACTATTCAGTATATTACTGATCGAAATATTAAAAAATTTGATCGATAAATTGAACACTCTGTGCACACTGTAGAACTGAAAATATGATTTTACATCTTCAGAAGATACAATCGTTCCAAATACTTTCAAATTGAGGATAAGTATGAAAAAGCCCGAAAATGACAAAAAGTTTTTATTTTTTATTTTTATTTTGTAGATTGTCATAACAATAAAATCATAAATAATATTGCAAAATTGAAACTGTTTATAGAAAATACATCCAAATATTCATTTTATTCTAATGCATTAATAACTATCAATCATTTAAAGAGGATCGAAGACGACATCAGCCAAGGTCTTCAAGGGCCTCCTTGCACAGGATAAAAAATAATGTATTCTAACAAGGTTTAATTTTAACTCAGAAACCTTAAACTAAACTGGGATTATTCAAGCTAGAGCAGATCTATACAGATAGTTGGTTAGGGAGCTGGAAAACTCTAAACGTAAGGTTTTGTTGCATCGGTCAATTAGTTTCAGTTATACAGGAAGTGGGCTTGATGTAAATATCTAAGGTAGAGGAGAGGAGGAGGGTAGAGGGGGGGGCTATGGGGTCTGAGCCCCCCTGGATCCCTGAAATATAATTTCCAAGGGTACTCAATATTATGCCACCCCATTTTTTTTAAGTCCCCCCCAAAATAAATTCCTGGATACGCGCCTGGATGACAGGTAGAGGGGGAAGGGGGAGCTTGATAAAAAGAGAAAAATCGAGTTCAGTATATTTTGTTGCTCATGACAACAATCGTAAAATTGCAGGTTGTGATTTTATCTTTTTATCTTGAAAAAAAATTATTACGTCTTATTTTATTTCAAGTTTTTGAGAACGTTAAAAAATAGAAAATCCGGCTTTCTATACCTCCCAGAGTAGAGAAAAAACTAATTCAAGAATTAAGGTGTGCCTTGTTTTCAAAAACTTCAATATGATACGTCGCAACTCTCCATAATAACCCATAAATAAGAATACTTATGATAGTTATAGATTTCAAAGGAAAGGTTTGGTATATACAAGGTTACCCACAAAGAATGAGATTTGAATAATGACCTTTAAATCCTTAAATATATTGATTGATTGATTGATCAGAACTTGGCTTCCTGCATTCAATATCTATATATATAAAGTTGTAATCTCTGTTTGTCTGTCTGTTTGTTTGTTTGTCCGATCATAACTCAAGAACCTACAGTACCGATTTGTCTCAAATTTTGATTGGGGATCTCAAAAGAACCACTGGAAAGTTCTTAGCTTCGTTTTGAGATTCTAAGTTGAGTGGGTCGACTTTTACAGCAAAAACGTTAGTTTCCCGGTAAAAATCGTCTAAGGGTGGTTAAACGGCGGGAGTACCAATGAGTACCCTGGGCAACGCTGGGTTCCCAATCTAGTCGTTTATAAATGACAAAATAATTTACTTAGCACAAAAAGAAATTAGTTTACGACTGCAGGGGACCATAAATATAAGAATAAAGACTTAATAATTTCCAAACTTAAGTGCTTTAACGAAACTATTTATACCAGTTTTAGAGATTTTGAGCCTTTGTTTAGTTCAGACACTTTGGTAAATTCCAATTTTGAATGATCTGGCACCGATGAATATCTTTTGATGAATGAGTATCTATCTATGGCGGAGAGAAGAAGATGGTGGTTAAGTATGAATGTATAGATTGTGTAGATAATATAATATAAAGCATGGACGAAATATTTTTTTTACTTTTATAAAAAATATTTACATGACATCCACTGTAAACTCGGGTTTCTTTTAACTATAACTATATCTTTGCAGCATGACGGGGCGACTTTCCATCAGCTGGAGCAAGCTGTATAAGCACAAATACAGACTATATTTTTAGCAAAACGTGACTTTACACCACATGGTGAACCCCCATCTTGTTAAATTTATGTGCACCAGAAAATCCGCGGAAAAAAATACAGTCACATTAAACAAGGTTTGAACATGAAACTGGAATAAAAAGGGGTAAAATTGTTCATGAAAGCGGGTTTTTGTTGTAAAATGCTTAGAGTATCTTCGTCGAAACAGATAACAATGTTGTAGACGATTAATAAAAAAAGCATATTCGAACTAATTATTCTGAAAATCAATTACCCTTAAATTTTAGTATAAAAAACAAAAAAAATTAATCGATTTAAAAATGCTTGTAGATGAATATTTTAACGTTTTACGAATTGAAATCATACAAAATGTTTCTTAACTATCTTAACGATTAGGAATAAGTGAATATTGTGAAAACATGGACAAATGTTGAAAATTCCAGGATTTGTTCAGAAAGGATCGAAATTCTCAAAATCTGAAAATTATATTTGTATCACTTTACATTTTAACATAATCACAAGAGGAGATGGGAGGGGGGGGGGCAGCCTTGTATCTCTCTCCAAGTAGTTTATTAATATTGGAAAACGACGTTGTTGCCGTGCCTAGCTGTGAAACCATTCAAGTAATTTCTCATCATTGTTATTTTTAAAAATGCATTTAATATTTTATGTTCGTAAAAATGTGAGATATATCTTAACCTGTTTAGTAACTAGATACACCAGGAGTCTAGTTAGATGTATATAAAGGGGTCAATGCCTGAAATAAACGTTGAGTAAATACCTATAATATAACTGAATAGTGTCTCCTATGAGCGAAGAAGGCTGAGTTTGCTCTAAGGCTCTCCCCTTCTGACTGGAGCGTCCTTCTAGACGCGTCTTGGCTCTCTACCATTGAAGCAGAGCGCGGCAGGAGAAATCAAGGAGAACTATATAAAATACGCGCTCAACATTAGCTTCAACTGCAACCAAACTTTTTATTGCGACAAAAAGCTTCCCGCATTGATTGCAACTAAATAACTAATTTTTTTCTATTGTAACTAGGAACAGTATGTACTTTGTACTTTATATTATCATTAGATGCTCGAACCAGTCCTTAACTTATTTTTTTCTAGTAATTTTGTACTTTATACTCCCTAACTCTAAACTAGAACTCTTGTGTTTTTTCTTTAAGAGTAATAAAGAACTCTTGATCTTTATTTTCTTTAATTGTAAACTAGAACTCTTGATCTTTATATATTCTCTAATTGTAAACTAGAACTCTTGATCTTTATATATTCTCTAATTGTAAATAGAACTCTTGAGCTTTATATCCTCTAATTGTAAACTAAAACCCTTGGTCTTTATATTCTCTAATTTGTAACTAGAACTCTTGATCTTTATATTCTCTAATTGTAAACTAGAACTCTTGATCTTTATATTCTCTAATTGTAAACTAGAACTCTTGATCTTTATATTCTCCAATTGGAAATATAACTCTTGGTCTTTATATTCTTTAAGAGTAAACCAGAACTCTTGATCTTTATATTCTTTAATTGTAAACGAAAACTCTTGATCTTTCTATTCGCTAATTGTAAACTAAAACTCTTGATCTTTTACTCTCTAATTGTAAACTAGAACTCTTGATCTTTACATTCAACAATTGATCTTATATTTATATTTTCTAACTATAATCGGCAAAATGGCATGTACATATTAATGTATGCGCAAATATTTTTTAAAAATATTTTAATAAAGAAAAATACTCCCAGAGCAAAATCTTTCAAAAAACTTTTGCAACAAATTTTAAGGCTTTTAAAAGTTTAGATGCGTCTAATTAACTTCCTGCTCCGTTGAAGATATCTCTCTTTCTCTCCTTCTCTCTCTTTTTTTCCTTCTCTCTCTCTCTCTTTTTCCTTCTCTCTCGTTTTCTCTCTTTCTCTCTCTTGTGCTCTCTCGTTTTCTCTCGTTCTCTCTCTCTTGCTCTCTCGCTTTCTCTCGTTCTCTCTCTCTTGCTCTCTCGCTTTCTCTCGTTCTCTCTCGCTTTCTCTCGTTCTCTCTCGCTTTCTCTCGTTCTCTCTCTTGTGCTCTTTCGTTCTCTCTCGTTCTTTCTCGTTCTTTCTCTCGTTCTCTCTCTCTTGCTCTCTCGCTTTCTCTCTCTATCTCTTTTTTTCCTTCTTTCTCTTTCTATGTTGCTCTCTCTTTCTTTCCTTCTCTCTCTTTCTCCTTCTCTCTCGTTTTCTCTCTTTCTCTCTCTTGTGCTCTCTCGTTTTCTCTCGTTCTCTCTCTCTTGCTCTCTCGCTTTCTCTCGTTCTCTCTCGCTTTCTCTCGTTCTCTCTCGCTTTCTCTCGTTCTCTCTCGCTTTCTCTCGTTCTCTCTCTTGTGCTCTTTCGTTCTCTCTCGTTCTTTCTCGTTCTCTCTCTCGTTCTCTCTCTCGTTCTCTCTCTCGTTCTCTCTCTCGTTCTCTCTCTCGTTCTCTCTCTCGTTCTCTTCGTTCTCACTCGCTCTCTCTCTCGTGCTCTCTCGTTATCTCTCCTTCTTTTTCTTTCTCTCCTTCTCTCTTTCTCTTTTTTTCTCTCTCTTTCTCTCGTTCTCTCTCTCTTTCTCTCTCTTTCTCTTTTTTTCTCCCTCTTTCTCTCCTGGTCTATCCAACAGTAGATTTTAATTATTTCAGAAGATATCTTAGTTTTTATATTTTCTAACATAAAGTATTTTTCATAAAAAGTTTGATTTTTTTACATTAAAAAAAATGATAGTAGACGCAATTTTTCAGGGATGAACTCTCTCTGTTCTCACGCTTTCGAAAACTCTGACCCTATTCTTACAACACACTGCCAATATTTCTTGTTATTTGATTTTTTCTTTCCTGTTCTTGCAACCGTTATACTATACGGGAAAACATGAATATAATGTTGGGTAATTGAATATTTTTGCATATCATTGACATTTTTATTGCAGTTCTGAAAAAGTCATTTTCTCCCATAAGATATCTAAACATGAGCAACAATTCTTAAATAATGATTCCGAAACGGAACGATTTGTACTTTTATCTCTGTATTGTTTCTACTCTTTCTCTCTTTTAGATTTGATGTATCTATATAAATCATTGATTTGAAAAAAAAATATTTTAAACATAACTAAAATAAGTCAGTTTAAAGTCACAAAAGGCCAACCTTTAAAGATAATTTAACTTAAAAGTCAATATGTGGTCATTAAATAAAATTTTTATTATCATGTTAAGCAGAATAAAAATATAAACAGGTTTCATTTAACATACCTGCAGAACAGTGATTTTCTTTGTTTGAAATCAGATTTAAATTTAAAGAAGTGTAATTCAGGTTATATTATATTTCATCTGGTAGAAGGTAATGGAGTTTAGGTTCAACTTTTAAGTATATTCATAAATAATTAGGAGAATTATAAATCAGATATTTATCTACAATTTAACGATGTTTTACAGGTTGTCAATACGCCACAGATACATAGATACATAGATACATAGATACATAGATACATAAATACATAGATACATAGATACACAGATACATAGATACATAGATACATAGATACATAGATACATAGATACATAGATACATAAATACATAGATACATAGATACATAGATACATAAATACATAGATAAATAGATACATAGATAAATAGATACATAGATACATAGATTCATAGATACACAGACACATAGATACATAGATACACAGATACATAGATACATAGATACATAGATACATCGATACATAAATACATAGATACATAAATACATAGATACATATATACATAGATACATAGATACATAGATACATAGATACATAGATACATAGATACATAGATACATAGA